TGTGAGTATCAATCGTAACACATACACTTGTCAGTATCAGCAATAACATTTACGGGTATGAGTATCAATCATAACACATATACTTATCAGTATCAATAGTGACACTTGTCAGTATCAGCAGTAACATTTACGGGTGTGAGTATCAATCGTAACACATACACTTGTCAGTACCAATAGTGACACTTGTCAGTATCAATAGTGACACTTGCCAGTATCAGCAGTAACATTTACGGGTGTGAGTATCAATCGTAACACATACTTTTGTCAGTATCAATAGTGACACTTGTCGGTATCAGCAGTAACATTTACGGGTATGAGTATCAATCGTAACACATACACTTGTCAGTATCAATAGTAACATTTGTCCGTATCAGAAGTAACATTTACGGGTGTGAGTATCAATCATAACACATACACATGTCAGTATCAATAGTAACACTTGTCAGTATCAGCAGAAACATTTACGGGTGTCAGTATCAATCGTAACACCCACTTGCCAGTATCAATCGTAACACACACACTTGTCAGTATCAATTCAGTTTAATCGGTAAAATGAACAAGTGTCAGTATTAATAGTGACACATACTGAACATGTCAGCACCAATTGTAACACTGAAAGCACATCGTTCCAGTATCAAAATTAACATTAATTAACAAAATTACATGAACCATTATCATTCGTATAGTCATAGAAAAGTATAAGGACAATGGTTAAACTGAACTAAATTGTAAGTTTTTTTGGAGTTTTGACACTCTGGCTTCATGGCATCAAGACACTGAATCCTCTGTTCACCTATGAAATTCTAACGATACGACTTTGTCGTAACTAGGGAATTTTACATGCATACCAGGACCCTGATTTTTGTAAAAAATTTTTTACAGAAAATTGACTTGTAAGCAAGCCTGTAGCTATAACGGGGCAAAGGTAGGAATTGATTGACTGAAAACCGACCACTTCTATTACTGCAAGTAAACACCATATAGGCTAATATTGCCCATACATATATTACTTGGCCCTCCGAACAATCAAGTCTGGCCACGGGCAATGATATTATATTACTTATTTATAAACATAATGTAAGTTTAATAAGTAGTAATCATTAATCTTTCTGGTTGATGAAATAATTTTTCTCTCAGGGTTATTTACTGTTTAATAACAGGAAATCTTTTCTGACAACTTAATAACGTACATAGTGGACAAATTCCTTCAAGTTGGTACATACATGTATTCCATAATTTAATGAATTGCCGTATTTGGGATTGGTTTCCGAACTAAGTGAGAGTACATTAGACACACGTCATGCAGGCAGGTGCGACTTTAATGAAATGGAATGAAGTTTTACGTCATCTTTTCTGATCCAGATTTGGCCTAAGAAATTTCACTTTCAAAATGTCGATGAGTTGTAGCACAGAGGGGCTTGGTTCACACTGTCTCATTAGAATGCACAGAGAAAGCTTATTAAAGTCGCTTCAACCATTGCCTAAATTGACAAAATGTGTGTCTGGTCTGGTTTCCTAGTATTACCGTCATTTACTCATGTTATAAAAGCTAAATTTAATCCTTTATGTAATTAATTGTCAGATAAAATGAGAAAACTGATCATATTCTTATATAACTCGTTAAATATATCTCAGCTAACAAAAGTTTATCACTGGAAAGATAACATTTCTAACAACAATTCAAAGATACTCAAACTTCCATCTAAAGGTATCAAATTGCTTACTGTGACATGGTAGTTCGAAACCTAACAACAATGAAAAGTGAAATAAATAGTTTGACGGTTAAATATCTTGAAGACCTTGCGACGACCAGTTTTCCTGTTAGCCCACATTCTAAATACCCCTTTAAGACGTCGGTTGAGTGCTTCAAGACGCAAGAACGGGGACCCTGTGCCCTTAGAAAAGAGACTCTTCTATCCATGGAGTATGCCTTTCACCTAATGACACCATGGCAATTGAAAGCAGGAAGTAAATATTCTACGTCATTTTATTTGTCAACTGAACTGATTTGTCTATTTAAAATCTGTACATGTTAAAACCACAGCACCAATCAGTACAAATGCATTTTGAAAGATTTTTTTTAAATTAAAAGTCACTATATACCCTTATAATGGAAAAATAAAATTACGCATTTTTTCACTAAACCAGATTTTTTTGATTGTATAACCATATTTTGCAGTACTGGAGAATCCGCACAAAGATGACTTTTCTCACGGAGTCATGGATTGTAATCGCTTTTTAATAGTATACTTAAAAGTGGGAGTATTGAAAAGGGAAATATTTGAAGTACTTATATAACCTAGTTGTTGCCATATCAGAGCATAAGGGTTCGTTCACATTACAAGCAGAGCAGGTCAACCTGAAATCAATCATTCGCTATAGACAACTGCTAACTGTGAGCGCTAAAATTTACAGCAGAATTTCCCGAGCGTGCTCTGTTCCGATCTGATTGAGGTGTAAACTACGGAGCCCCTAAGGCGCAATTGTAAACATATTTATTTATTATTTTATAATAATTAACCCATCTTTTTATTTCGTTTAAACGAAATAGACGAAAAAATTAATTCGTTTAAACGAAATAAACATAGCGTATTTCGTTAAAACGAAATAATTATTTCGTTTAAACGAATTGATTATTTCGTTTAAATGAAATAATTATTTCGTTTTAATGAAATAATAATTTATTTCGTTTAAACGAAATAACATTTCGTTTTAACGAAATAATTAATTCGTTTAAACGAAATAATTAATTCGTTTAATCGAAATAATTATTTCGTTTAAACGAAATAATAAATAAATATGTTTACAATTGCGCCTTAGGGGCTCCGTAGTAAACAGCTGAGCGTCTGTACATTGAAAACCAACTAACTAACTGCTATACCACGCACAGCCCTTTTCAACTTGTAGTGTGAACGAAACATTAGACTGATTGAAATGGGGTAATTGGTGAAAAATCGATATGGATCAATCCATACCATCTTGCCTATCTGTCTGTAAAATATAATGAGTAGAAAAAGATTAAGGCAAGTCATGACTTAAAGACAATCCATACACACAATAAAAACAAGGCTGTATTAGTATTTTATGTCATTTATTGATTTCAGCAAGATTTTATTTATTTTTACAAGAAAGAAACTAAAAGTCTGGAGCTGGTATTTTTTTATAGAAAGAATAATCATGTTGATACTACAGCTTATTTTTGGATTTAACAGTCAAGAAAAATAAACAATATTTGGTTTTAGGGATAGAATCGTCTAATTATTCAAATTACAATTCGATAAAACCCCATTTGGATAACTGTATGACCTTCAAGAATGAATTTTTGACACCTAGATTGTCTCCAATTAATTACAACTAGAGTGATGTTATCACTGAACAGTTCATTTATCTCATTATATGCTATCATATTGAAAATTAAATATTTTACACCTAGATTGTCACAAATTTAATACCAAAAAATAGGCACTATGCCAACTGCATCATTTTAAACAATTAGAATGTTACACCTAGATTGTCTTCAATTAAATAAAAGAGTTGGCAGTTTATTTAATTATTATTTTACTACATGAGGTGACTTAGATTACAAACTGTTTTATATAATGAAGGGCAGGTGAACATCACATTTTATTTCTGAATAAAAATTCTTACGAACAAATTCTGTCAATCAAAAAATGCGTTCAAAGAATGGCATTGGCAAATCGGTAGTAAAGGTAGTATAGTAGTCGAAAGAGAAGTACCATCAGGTGAGTAAGCATAGTCTGCTTCGTGTGCGACACCTGCCACTAAGTGATCTACTTGTTTCTTGATTTGAGAAATTAAATGACTGAATCCCTTTGAAAACTCTAATTAATGTTTTATCATCCTTTTAAACTAAACATCAACTAAAAGCATCAACAAAGTCTCTGAAAATAACCACAAATATCATTTCTGGACAAATTTTCATATAGCTAATTTATTATCAAAAATCAATATTTCCTTACTAAAATAATATTTCAATTATAGACCCATATAAGTATTGACACAGACCATAATTTCTGACATTAGGCTCAAAAATCAATTATTTTTTCATCCAGTAATGGTTTAGAATTTAATATACCTGCATAATTTATTTCTAAGTTAAGAGAAATGCTGGAACATTTTGATAATTTATTGTGTAGAAAATGTAATTTCAGATACCTTGATTCCCCCAGCAGACAATGATTTGATTCAATAAATATATAGCAAAACATTACATAAAAATGTCTTCTTGACAGATTATCAAAAATAGATATTTACATATATATACATAACAATATAACATATACATTAACTTAACAATCTTTCTGCTCCAGTGTCATCAAGATGTCTCCTTTATCAAGTTATCCTCTTTATGCTTTAATTATTTCCATAAAATAGCTTGTCTTGTTAAGAATTTACAAGATTAGGCTCTCTTCATCATAAAGAAATACGAATTATTAGTTAAGTTGACTCTTTGAAAGGGAGGCAAATGACAAACCCAGTGAAAGAGCAGAATCTTATTAATTTCGTCATTGGTAAGTAGATATAGCCTATCATCAATCTTTACTCATTTTAAAGAAATCTATGAGAGATACCTATGAATAATTAAAAACAATTTTGGTTTAGGCAGTCCGTTTCTTAGTATGCATCTTTCAACATGATATAAGGGGCAGAATAGATATTTCCTTATCAAATACAGATCTGTTAAACACCAATATCTTTTGGCTGATAAAAACACTATATTAACACCAAGTTCACTGGACAGTTTAAAACACTGTGTTACCAATATATAATCTTGACTGCTTTAATGTGTATTAAAAGTATCTTTGAACAACAATAATCTTTTGAAACACTGTACACATACCAACAAGTTCACTTTGTATTTTTAAGTCTTTATAATATTAATACCAAAGTATTTTGACTGATAGAAACATTTTCCACTAGAAGTTCCAAAATATATATAAGAATGTCCATTTTGTAACACCTCGCTATGAATAAATGCTTCATCGTTCATCAATTAAAGGTGTACCATCACCTCGAGGCGAATCATCAGAGTTTGGTGTACCACGCCTTTTACTTTTACTTGGTGTTTTCTTTTTTGCCCACATTTCAGCAGCTTTAGCCCAGTCTGTTCCTGATTTACTGGTGCCAGCTGTAGGACGTGAGGAGGAAGTAGTAGGCTGATTCTGGGCTGGTGTTCTTGGTGTCATTCCAGACCAATTTGATGTTCTTGGTGTTGGATTGTAGGAAGGTGTGAAAGGCTGAGATTGAGAAGCAGGTGCTTGATTAGGTGTTTGTGCAATCTGGTTGCCATGATAATTTGGAGTCATCATTGGTGTCATCATTGGAGTCACTCCAGGCTGAAACAAAGGCCCAAAAAATGTGATCAAAAGATGATATACAGGACCCAGTGCCCTAAAAAATCTGTCAATAAGATATTGTCCTAAGAGTGGAATTATAGATTGAGAGTAAGTAATACACTTCTTAGTTGCTAAAACAAGTCGTAACATTTTATTACTATGCATCAAGGGAAATATTTCCTGAGCCAAAAGTTTGGTTTGTTCTTACTAATTCATACCTACATTCAGGATGATTTGAGTCCAAATATCTATCTGACAATTGGATTAAAAAAAATTCTGGAACTTGTATATTATACAACCTACTGTTAAAATCCTAAAGATCACCCTAGCAGTAACGATATCATAAGAATCCAACCATTTTATTGAATGAGCTATAGTCCTCCCCTTAATGATATAATATATTACCTGATAATGAGCCGTGTTAAAACTAGAGACGTTTCTATTGGGTTGTTGTGGGGTGGCACTAGCAACTTGAGCTAGAGTATTGTATATATTAGATGATAGACCAGCTGCTGCTCTCTGGATAGTAGCTTGATCAACACCTACAAATATTAATCATTGAGTCAAAATAAGGCAATAAATACATATAATAAAAACAGTTTTACTTTTATGTCACTAATACACATATACAAGATATTAATTTTGGTCACACATGTATGGTTTTGATTAAATTGAAAACCTACAGTATTAGCAGACACAAAACTCAAATAAACTACTGTAAATGAAGCAAATAAAAATGCCATTACCTCCTATGCTCATACTAGGTGTATAAGCTGTCATCGGTGTTCGAGCACCTGGTGTTCTACCAGTAGGAGCAGGTGTTCGACTTGGTGCTGGTGTTCTCACATTAGATGGTGTTCTTGCTGGTGTTCTAGCAGGTGTTCTGGCAGGTGTTCTAGCTGCCATTGGTGTACCTATAAAATTAATCATTATCAAATTGAGTAAAAAAAATTACAATAACTTCAAATTATTTATGTGACCTTTCAGAAAGGGAAGGCAAGTTCATTGGGTGATATATATTGAAACTATTTTTATAACTGGGTAACCTCTCAATAATAGACAGACCCAATCACCAAGTGGCACCATGTGTTTCTTTATTCTTTCTCAGGTATAAGATCACAAATGGGCAAAATAAATATTAATTCAAACTTTAGAAGACAATAGTATAATAATTGTCTCTGAAATAATCATAGTATTTTCTCACAAAATGAATAATTCACTGTGATTAAAGGAACAGAAGTAATAACCCATCATTTAAACAAAACCAGAAGAATTGTATATTATTGTTTCACAGAGCTATCACTGCCCTCTCAATATAGAAATAGTAATTACCACCTTACCTGGTATAGGGTCACGGAAATGTTCTTTAAACCATCGTACAACTGAGTTGAGGGAATGAAAATTAGTTATTCTATATCGTAAACCATCAGGATTGATAGAGATATATTCATGACGTGGTTTATTACGAGGCATGTAAGATAACAGAAATTTACCAGGATATGCTTTCGATGCACTTAAATAATAGGGAATTCTGAAAGAGAATTGAAATTCGTTATTAAGAGGAAAAACCTGTATTCATTGTGATACTATAACTCATTCTTTAATAACAAATTATATAGTAAAACATAATAGTAAATTGTGCTGAAATGTTATGTACTTTGTTATTAACGAAATGGGTTATATCATAATATATTCCTGTGTGTTTTTGTTATATGTGCTCTCTGCTTCTAAATGTCCTTCAAATTCTATATTGTTTTTTAGTTTCTTCTTTTTAGTGGATTTATTTATTCAGTTTTAATCAATTCTTCAGCCAGACCTTGGTAATAAGTCAAACTAATGTAAACTGAATATTCAAGATTAAAAAATATGTGTGTTCTTCTATTTCAATATATTATTAAGAAGTAGGATGTTCTGTCATCTCTAAGAAATATTTTCAAGTACCTTGAAGGACCTTTCCTCTTTTCAACAACTAATAATTTTTCTAAGATTTCTCTTTTGCCACCTTCTGAATCTCTGTAATATCTGAAGCCGAGAATATCTCTGGCCAGAGCTGCCATTGGTTGAACATGTCGGGCGATAATTTCATCCAGATCTTCAAATTCCTAAAAATGTAATAGAAATTGATGAATATATCAAAAAAATTCTCCACTCAATAATTATACATCAAACATTGTCTTTGAGCAAAGTGCCCTGGATATAACATCAACAGTTAAGAAAATGTCAAAAACATATCTACATCTGAAGTTAAATTTGAACAGTTTATTCAACCTAATATACACAATCAAATAAGTGATAGTGGGTCTGTTCTGTTACTTGCAATAATTATTAGATGTACATAAGTACCTATGAAAACTGTTACATCTGCCATTCTTAATAATAATCATAATAATAAACATTTATAAAGCACTAGTATCCACATCACTGAGGGACATGCTCAAAGCGTTTCTTAATGAAGGCACATACCTCATTTCCTATTAACAATGATCTTCCTAAACTAAATGCGTTTTCTTTGCCTTCTTCCCGTACATCTATATGTTGTAATATACCATCAGCTACCTTCCATGTAACTGTTAAATGATCAGCACCCTACAGAAAGACAATGATATAAATAATTTCACAACCAATAAGGGCAGTTACTATGGTATATTCAAAGCATTATCAGTCATATCATCACTGACAGAGGGGAAAAGAAGGCTTGATGAGGATTGAACCCTGGAAATTGAGCAAAATCTAGCAATTGTTTATATCACAAAGCCACTGGCATTTTTCTAAAAAGAGTCTCACAGCTCAAACAACGTTCGATCATATAACAAAATGTATTATATAAAATTCCAATCAGTAATAAAACCGGTTGAGTAGATTACATGTAAGTATATTATTTATCAGTTCAAGTTCATGTTTCACAGCTAAATTAATATAATTATTATTATTAAGCTTATATACTGATATCTAATAATAATAATACACCTGTTAAACTCTAATTATCACTATAATAATGAGTAATCCTACAACATGAGATTATACAAATTGGAATCACAAATTAATAACTAAAGTAACAGTCACAAATTGAATTGATATATAATTTAATATCTTGTATAACATAGTTTAAATTAATGCTTCACAAAGAAGCTTCATTGAATAACTGTAACATTAAAGACAATATTTCTCATAGCAATTTAACCCCTTATTTATTCATCTCTTATATCAAGACTTACACAAGAGTCAGTGAAATTCTATATTATAACTACTAGAAGTTCTAGTCTAGAACAATATCAGGTCATTTCCAATTCTGTTTTAAATGTTGTCTGTGGAAACAGATTAGTGCTTGCAAAACTAACTTTGATTTGATAAATCCTCATGTCAACGGAAGCCAAGTCATGACAAGTATTTATAGAATCAACAGAAGGTTTAATAAAACAAGTCGGAACGTTCATAACGTGTTCCACGTGTGCCGTACAAATAGTAGTTACAGATGAAATTTGAAATTGGCGAAGAAGGAAATAGATGTGAAAAGTTTGAATGTGACATATCAGCTTTTATACTGTTTGATTAAGGGCAGAAATGGAACAGACAAAACCTTTTCAAAATTCTTCGTTCGAGTGCCACCATAGTTCATGAATAAATGTATCATTATTATTTTCCATACCTTACTACTTGGTCGTATCATAACTTCACCCTGTTCTACATTAGCCATTAATTTCTCACATTCAGCATAACTTATATTGTGGAAGGAAGGATGAACAATAACTCGTTTAATATAAGCTGAAAGTAAAAAATAAATATATTGATGGAATTGTAACTAACAGTCAAAGTTCCTTTATTCACTTTAATGCCCATTTTACTGTAAATTTGATTTCCATTTCTAAATGAGCTGTCCTGATGACAGATGTATGTCTTAAACACATCTCAACAGCATAGTAATGCTCTATTTTAATCTTGTTGCAGTGAGAAATTTTCGAGCATTTTATGAATCTCAACTCAGAGTAGCTATAAATACTTTTTACACAAAACTTGAGTGCCCCGCAATTGCAACATTTCAAATGCTGTCAAAAGGTATCTCTCCATACTTTAAAATAAGGAATATTCTTCAGTCTTTGAGCAGTAAGTGTAAATGAAATGTAAATGTCTGACACCCAGAATTCCAAGTAAAATAAATTAAAGTGTATGAGGTGAAAGTAATTGTTGTGACTTGATAATGTCTGCTGAAGTATATATCACATAATTGGGTGGTAGAAAGAGATGCTGTTAGATTTGAATTAATGTAAAACCTACTTTGTCTAGCCTTTTGTTTCTTTTTTTCTTCTTCTTTTTCAGACTGATCTTTCTCCAAATCAAAATCATAATACAGATCTTTCTTTGGTCTGAAATATAATTATAAAATTTCATGTGTTGAATATTTGTGCAGTTCAAAGGTAGGTTTCCTCATTTTTTAGTGTCAAATTAAGCAACCTATTTGATTAATCGGTGTTTCTTATGAATTATCATGTATCCTTAATTATATCATTTGTTCTTGTTGCATATAATTAAGAGATTTAACCAATCATAAATGTCCATGTATGTACAAACTGGTATTTTTCCAAGTCATTAGAACACCTCTAGTTTCTATTTGTATAAGTATTAGCATTTTCATTTTTATAAATGAAATGAATGGTGTTTTACATCCTACTTTTCTGCACCTTGTAGGCTAATGAAGACGGGCAACACCATGCAGGGTGCCAAGAGGGAAATTTTGCCAGGACAGCGGCATTAACCTGCTCTTTTACGATTTCCAATTGTCGAGGGATCTTTAACGTGTATTCCATAAATGAAAATAAGGGAACCCATCTTTAACTTAAAACTTTTGAAATACATAGCATGACACTTTAACATTATGTTTGAGCATGTGAGTAAATCTTTCAGTATATAATAAAGTGTAGTTCTTCCCTACTGATGTTTAATCTTACTTCCAATTGCCGTCTTTATCAGCTAAATCTGATGATTTACAAGTTAAATCAACTTGAAATCTTTCTATATCTATTTTAGTTATTCTACAATGTATTGTCATTCCAGGCTGAAATATACAAATTATACTATATGTACTTCTATCTACAGATATCTGATATTTAAAAATATTTCCAAAAAATATACTTGGGATGAATCTAATGCCAAAAAATCCAAACGTAACATTCTATTTCGAATAATGTAATTGACAGAATAGATTCAAATAATTCTCTCAAAAATCAAGATCACCCTAGTAAAATATACCTATACACCATATCAAGAACACCAAAAGAGAGAAGTTTGCTTCTATAATCCCATTTGTCAGTAAACAGTTTAATACATATATTACTGCTTCAAAGCATTAGAATGAATCTTTCATTATAATTCACTGGGAAGGAAACAATGCTTGTTATAAGTGGAAATGATAAATAATGACACAACTCAATACAAATCACTATGTTATATAGATCAAGACAAACTCTACCTGTACTCGTTCTTCTGGGTTTGTGACTCTCTTGTCACTGATCATCTTAGTGGGTATAAAACCTGTCACTGAATTATCTAGCCGACATTTTACACCCATAGCTGATCCTGGACAATTACCAGCATCAAAATGACTCCATACCTAGATTACAAATTAACATTTTACAGTGCTATTTAGTGGTTTGAAGGCAATAAGACCCTACTACAGCATCATTTAAACCAGATTACAAGCAAAACTCAAAAATGGTTTGGCAGCAGCAGCAGAACAAAATATTCATAAACATTTCAGATGATGTTTGCTTTGCTTCCTGAATATCCAACAGATAATGATCAATTTTTAAAATCATTCAAATATTCACTATTTCTGGGTTTTAATTATTAATTGCTCAAGATTTCTAAATCATAATTATACAGGAAAATATAAACACAATTGATGAATAGTTTGAGCAAGGCAACCTTTTGAAGAAAAACATATAATGGTACAGTGGTGTAACCTATCTTCGTGGATATAAGGATTCAACACCGAATTTCGTCAAAGTTAAAAAAACTAAATTTTTTTTTTTATGTCTTAGATGTTTCCTCAGATATTCTACAAAATAATTAAAATTGGTTTGTTTCGATTTTCTTTATGAATTCTTCACTTTGACCCATATTTCATGAGCAACCAACTCGGCAATGGCGGCAGAATGCGTCACCTATTTTCGTGTACAATGTTTGAACTATAAATAAGTCTAGAAAAACACGTTGTATGGATACCGGGTGGTATAGTTAACTTCTCTTAGTATTTATCTTTAATATCAATTCATTATACCTAGTGACAATTACTTCAAAGAACCACGATTTAAAAAAAAAATAGTGACTGACAAAATAAGATACGTAGCGTGATTTATTGCTAAAAGTCACTGAAACAACATAAGAATATGGTCCACTTTGTGTTCCATAGAAATTTTCTGCTTACAAGGAATCCGCTACTTGATCACGTGACTTCATTCGTTGGACTACATTCTAGCAGACGACAGTTGGAATTCCGATTACGGCTAGGGATTATAAGGAAATTCGGCCGATAAAAAATGGTGACGTTTGGTAATAACTGAAATCCGCCATTTTGTATTTGTCAAAGTATACATTAATACATTCTACCTTGCTTGCAACTACTGGATTCATTCTACTAGCTGATATTGTAGAGAAAACCCATGTTTATTAAAACAAACTAATGCGGAGGTCGCGCAAGGTCGCTCATGTAAATTATTAATCATTTCCGGAAATCCACGAATAATAGGTTTCCACGAAATTAGGTTACTCGACTATATAATAAAAAGTGAAGTAGACTCACATTACTAAGTTCTTGGAAATCATTTTGTTTACAGAATGGACAAGACCATAAACCAGTTTCATCATCTCGTACAGGATTAGCATTATCTAACTGTTCACCTTGTGGTTTTTTATGAGCAATACCAGTTACTGCAGCCATTACTAACTTTCCTACAAAATAAATTCCTCATATGAAATCTTGAATTTTCATAAAAATCCTCAAATCCCCCATAATTTTAGCATCATTACGTTGCTCTCTTAAACTAAGAGATCATTGCCTATGATTTCATACTGAATAACAAATTATGATTTTAACATGATCTCAACCCCCCCGTCACATAATAAGAATTAACATGGCTTGGCTTAGGTCCCCACAGACTGTTGATGATCTATGCCATTCAATCCAAAATCAGGTAGCTGCTGAATAAAAAATAATTACATACCAACATAAAATGTATCAGGAGTTTCTTTGGTGATCATATTAAATCTCTCCTCAACAGATGCAGGACGGTATGGACTACGTAATTCTTTATATCTATGATTTAATTCTGCTCTAATGTCATAAAGTGTAATACGTTTATCTCCATAACCCTAGAACAAAAATACATATTTCAATTGAATGAAGACAATCATGGTAATTGGTGCTCCAATGCTTTGTATTGAAGAGCTTTCCTCTAGACGTGGAAATTAATATATCACATTCAAAATGTAGCCTTCTAGATCCATTCTCTACCATTTTTCTGTCTCCATCAACTTTCTTTTGGCTGCACGTATTCTGAACCAGGTTCTATTGAACCTCTGCTTATAGTTAGTAGTATATCAGTACTTGTTTCAATAACCATAGAAGCCTACCTGTCGTTCCAACTCAACAGCAAAGGCATTCAAATCTAATTCTTTTAAACTCTCTGGTCTTTCCAAGATTTCTTCCAGTGCCCCAGCAGGATTAGCATCCTCTGAAGAATCATCATATTCTAAAGCATCTACTGCCATCTTACGAGCCCATTCATAAGCTTCAGGGTGAACACGAGAACCATCTAATGCATCCACAAAAGTGTCAGTACTGAAATATATACACATTTTTTATCAAAAGCATTGAACTGTGTGATATTAATATGATAGTGATGTCAAATGTGCTACCCTATTATTGCATATTGTATGAGATATTACTCATATTGATAAAGTAAAGGTATGCTATTTTTTTGGTGAATAAATAACTTGATTCATAATCTAGAGGCTAAAAACTGATTAAATTTTACAGTTATGTTGTCAGTTATTTGTATTGTTCAAACTGAAAAGAACTTTTTCAAGTTTGACTTCAATGTTAGTGCAAATGAAGACAAGTATCTAACAAATTACCTGTGTCCTAAACTATTGGTGTCTATTTTAATAAAACCAGCACAGTTAATAAAAACTTTAGGTCCCATATGACATAATGATACCAGCTGAGTTCTATTTTCTAATCTACTGTTATTCTGTTTTAATATCTACAATAGATTAAACAATCTGTAAATAGACTGCAATGTACTGACACAAACAGAAAATTGTCAAATGAATATAAATGAAGTCTACTGTCTATTGTTATTGCTCTTATATGTATGTAAAACCGATAATCTCTTACCTTTATCAACTGTGAGCCTTTTCTAGGACCCAGACCACAAATAAATTGTGTTAAACAAGCTGTATGAGGATGAGCTAGAGCCCTGTTTACATCTACACCACATTCATTGACTCTGTTAACTAGCTCTAGATATAGAGCTTCACGTAGTTCATCTTTATTTATTTCATTCTGAAATTATAAAAGGAACAGGTCAATAATTAGTACTGATGCTAGAAGATTTGGATTTCTTGGTCATTAATACACAACTTGTGTCTAAAAGTGGGTCTTGTTCTAACAGCAATATATGGATTAATTACACCATCAATTTCCAGTAACCCCCATGCAATCTTTGACACCTATCACTGTAAAGCAGAGCTTAGATTACCACCTACTTCTGGAAAGTAGTCAGTGTGATCATGATATCCAGACTACTAAGTACAAGACCTACCTGATATGTATGGTATTTCAAACATAAGATATCATCATCTGCATTACATAGCTGAGCAAACTCTATCAATGGATCTTGTAGTCTTCTAGCTAATGATATAGCATGCCTTAATACTGGTGGATATTCTCGGAAATCATGCTACAAAAAAAAATTTAAATTGATCACTAGAGTATATATAAGAATTCAAAGAATTCCATTCTAGTGTCATATGCTAGAAGAATAGTTGTCCTTGGTTTGAATCATCCTCAAGGCAAGAAATATTTCTTAAGTTGTCTTACTGAAAGCGGAAAAATATTTTTTTCAACAATCATTATCTTAAAATCTAACAGAAACCTGACCTCCAAATTTGTAAAATGCATTTAAAATTCAAAAGAGATGATTTAATAATGCTAAAGCAATTCTTACAGCAGCTTTATTGGTATTTTCATAGACTAGAGCCAATTCATTATCCATTAATTCCACACTAATAGGTGGTAACTGTTCTTCTTCTTCTAATGTAGTAATAATCTTCTTTAAATCATCTACTATCATTAATGCCTCTCTAAAATAAGAGGTAAAAAAAGATGAATAACAGGAAGTAAAGGCAATAAAATCAACTTAGTAGTCCATTTTGTCGCACGATTCGATTAGGTAGATTAGCTATTTTGTGCATTTGTGAGCCAGGACGTTTAGGCTAATCGATGCATTTGTGAGACAGTTTACCTAAACTGATTAGGCTAATCGATCTAACCGTCCCAGTAGGTGGTTAGGCGATTCGATTAGGTGTGACGTCATTGGTAATTTATACTATTGGCTAAGTAATATCAATGTTGTCTATATAAACATAGATGTCATAGGCTAATATTAATAGACAACCTTCTTTTGTTGATTGTGCAGTCAGTCATATTGCCTAATCGCTGGTATCACATTTGTAGGCCACTGTAAATCGTACCAGCAAATCAAAACCTTATCGAATTGGGTGACAAAAACGACTACAGACTCAAGCATCTTTTACAGTCAGATATTTCAGTGAAAAAATTTGTTAACTTTTTTTTTTAGCTTTAAGTAGAAATACATCATCCAATTGAATTCATTTGATGTATATATTGTCTATTTCATAAGAAAGGATTGGGATTTGATTAAAGGGACGTAACACAGTTAAACTTGTGGACTAACCTTGATTCTCCAGTGACAGCTATAACATGAGGTTTTTTATTAGATATAAATTCCTTTAATTTCTCTAGATCTGCTTCCTATACAAAAGAAATGAGCATCAAATAAATATCTATTGGAAAACAAACTATCACATCATCAAATAAACTAAATAATCCTCCAGACTTGAGCAACCTTATACATCCCTCTTTCACTGATATTCAACAACCTGCAATTGTGTAATAAGCTTGTAGGGGTTGATATGCCAGAAGGAAAACAAGTACTACATGTCAATTTTCAATAGAGACCACTGACTATAACAGGTCAGCTGACTGAATATTGCATAGCGTGAAACTCTGAGTAACAACATGTTTCAGATTCTGTTTTAATATATCTATATTGCTCTACAGTCTAAAATTGGCGAGGAACTTTTCAGTGAAAAAAAAAGTGAAAATATTTTGTTATTGTACAGTTACAATTGTTCAAAAGGGCAATAGAACTACGCTGAATGACTATAGCCCTCACTGACCTTTCCTTCTCTGTCTTGTTGTCTCCATGATTTAATCCTAGTAGTAAGATGTGTTAATCTTAAATAATCTGTCACTTCACCATCTCCATCAATTAGAGCACAGAATGATGAGGGATCTTTATTATCAATCCTGAAGTAATACAAAATGCACATTATAATATCAAAGGTCAACACAAATTATAACATTTTTTAATTCAGATTTAGTCCCTATTCATTTAGATAGCAAAGTTTAATCATAACAAAGATAAGATATTTTTGAAAAAATCCAATATACACTGTAAAGATCTTAAAACGTTTGACTTAAGTTCTGAGGTATTGGATTTAACCCATGAAAGTTAATTTAAGATTTCTGATTTGTATATGAAGTTGGACTTACTTTTCTAAAGAATAACCAACCCCCATTACTCTGAGACCATCAGTATCATAATAATCATCTTCATATAACAGTTGATCACATTGATATGGTGCTACCTTTAACCACCAGTACAACTTACGTGCACAACTCTATAACATATATATATATAAAGATATGTAAATAAATAGCAAGCCTATATAAGACAATTGTGTTCTTTTCTATATTCTTTATAAAAAACAAAAATCACAGCTACTGAAAATTTAATAAATCAATTACTAAGAGTACGGATAAAGATAGAGTACAATAGTCAAACTGCATCTTTCCTCCTCAATGTGGTGGAGGGATCTTCTGCTTTTGCTCTTTAAGTTAAGTATGACTTCCATTATGTTACCACCTTACCTTTTTAATTCCTTCTTTACTTTCAGCCAATAAAGTCATTCGTAATTCTTTTTCCATTTGAGGATACAATATCTTAGTTAATGCCCTTTTTAAAGCTTCACTTCTCTGTGTGTTCCATTGCTGTACAAGATGACTGAATTCGTCCTATAAAATTTGATAGATAATAGGTTATGTTGTTATTTACATACCAATAAGATGGTGACAGACAAATGGGAAATGTCATTTAACATGTTCTACTAGTACTAAATGGCCACCAAAAATCGGAAAGGTCACTTGGGGTATTCAGGATAAACATAGGTATAGATAAAAGATTCATTTGACTGTTCATACTCACTAGTCTGAAACAGTGAGAGGCTGAACAAGGATTACCCACAAGAAAATGTTGCAAATAATGGCAAAATTTTGACTATTTGAGAATTCATATCCACTAAGATGAAAATATGGACTAATAATGGGCAAGTTGTTTAGTCTTGAACTGGCTGATAAGAAATTAACATAAGTAGAACTGAAACTCACTCTGTGAAATAACTGTCTGACTTCTTCAAAATATGTTGATGATGTTAACCCATCTTCATCTATCATAATAGAGATAGTCAGTAAGCCTTCTTCTTCAGCCTACAATACAAGTCGTATTAGTTTAGTTTATTTTGTCAAAAGAAAATAACAGTAATGAGTCATTACTTTTCTATAGTTTACATTTAATCTGCAGTTCATTAATTATTGTTCATAACAGGTGTAAGTTATTAACAATGCAACTTTTTCACTTATTGGTACTCTACTGTTTTATAAGGCATTATCCTTATGCAGTTTAATTCCCACTTGTGAGAAAACGTTCAATAATCACAAAAAAAAACAAAAATATTAAATTAGTCGTAAAATCCAACAATTTTGATGCGCCACAAAAAAATACTTTGGAAAAAAAGAAAGGAATCCAAAGAAGTTCCATCCTCAATGCAATGCCTCTAAAGACAAATCCATGAAAATGGTGTCCTTGAAAAAAAATAATTTCACAGCACTTTTAATGCTCATAATTTACAAATTGCAATTAGAAGGTTAAAGTTAATACTTACCAAATGTAACTTCAGATATTGATCATCTTTCAAATCTTTGACTGGTTTATTTTTTAAATATTTCATAGGATAACAACAGTGAGCTTCGTCTATTTCCTGTAAAAATTTACATACATTGTTCTATGAAAGGGGTATTACACATACAGTAGCATTATGAATTAGTTACCGGTTAAAGTCAAGGTGACAAAGTCAAGTGTAGAGTTACATCAAGTATCAAAGATGAGCATTCATGAAATTTTAAATGAACTTCAGGAGCAATTTAGAAGACATCTACACAAAGCTGTTGACTAGGCTCTATTTTCCAAACATAAAAACAGGGCAGCTGAAATGTCCATGAGTCACAAGCTACTGATGGACAATTAGTCCAATCTTCTTCAATTTTCAATTACAGTTGTATATTTGGCATGCAGAGTCTGAGCCTAAAGCGAAACTAGAAGCTATAGCTATATAACTTGAATATCAAGTTTCAGTTACCTTCATGCCTTTCTTGGTGGGAACAACTTTAATCTTAGCTCTCTCCTCAAATGTCTGTCTGACTGATTTACGAACTGCTGGGTCATGTGATATCTGCATGGCAACCATATGTCTAGCGCCCATTAATACATCTTCTTCTGTTGGAAATTGTCTAAAATAGGAAAACAGGAATGAAATAAAATAAAATGATTTTTAAATCCTACTTTTCTGATTTGACTAATGAAGACAGTAAAATATAACCAGCATTATTCAAAAATAAGTCTTTGATAGTAAAGCTCTGCAGTGTGTCATGAGGAAATTAGATAAGATAGCAGCACAAGCCTACTTTTCCATTTCGGGCTATCAAATGATCTTAAACCTTCACTTGGCTATGAGAAATGTTACTTTAAAGGATGGCAAAGATATTTATATAACATAAATTGAGATGTACAAAACCATTTTCTAAACATCCTGTCATTGTGACAACGCTGCAAATTGCTAAGAAATGTTTTGGGATATGAAAACAGGGTAGTATTACCTATTGACATAATCTTTAGCTAATTCTAGTGGTTCAACAGGACACTGTTCTACATCATGTCTTTGATAATTATCTCGTAAATTTTCACCAAATTGTTCTGGTGTTAAACCAAATCTTCTGGCTACTTCATCTATAAATAGACAATTGATGAAAATATAAAACAAGGCTTTATGTAGGCATTATATCACGTTTGAAACCACAACTTTAGATGTCTTTCTTTCAAAGAAGTATTCTAAATTCACCAACACTCCCTTTTTGACTTTAACTGCACTACAGCATTGATTATTACATATTATTATATATATCCTTATTCATTCAAACTTAAAGCATGTACCTAATTTAGAATCTTGACAAATAGAATAACCACTCTTTCTAGAGGCTTGTTTGATACTATCATTATTTTCTTCTGGTTCATCTCCAGTCTTCTCCATTTCTTCCTGTGTCTGCTTCTTTTTCTCAGCATTTCTCATTTTAGGTATTTCACTACCGTAATATAGTAAGAAATGTTGATAGACATCTCTCAGTTCTTCTATAGATTGTACTTTACGTACCCTGAAATAATCAAACATGAACTATTCAGAATATTCTGTTTTAATGTAGAGTGAGCTAAAAGTAAGGTGAAGTTTATTTTTGAATTCATTTCGAATTATAATTTCAGAATTATAACCAGATATCCACACCTATATATGCTAGAAAATAATGTTATAATACGGAAATATTTGTTCCTCCGTTGATATTAAGCCAAACCGATTGGCACAGCAAATCACTTGCCCATGGATTGATGAGTAAGAAAAACTTATTGAAAGCCATCACAATGACATTATAGCTATTACTGACTTTGGAAAAACCTTTTCTTTAAATGCCTTTTTTTCCACTTACTTTTCAATATCATCTTCAGTTAAATTTCTAAATGATGAAGCCAAGACTTTTTCTACATCAGAATTGACTTCATATTGAAAATTCTGCATCTTTTCAAACAATCGGACTAAATTCTTCTTTCTCTGAGATAACTGTGTCCACTGAAATTATTTACAGAAAACATATTTAAACCATTATTTTTATCGTCTTCAAGGCAGAGCATCATCAAACAAACAGGTTCATTTTCAATTGCAAGCTGCGCACTTGGTTATCAACATAGTGGAAAACTACCGATTTTTGTCTCCTTGTGGGCCCGCAGCCAGTCAAGACCGTTCATGAGCCTGCACCTTTACAAGACAAGCCCATTCCGCCCGTATATACTGTTACTGACATCCAATGTAATTACTTACAATACAAACAATACTCTTGATCAATATTTGGCTAATGTTGTCAAATAATTACCTTTTCATCCCAATTCCAGACTTTCCATAAATCTGCAAAATTCAGCTCTGGTTCCACATATTCTCTTCTATAGAAAGCTATGAATGGTACCTATAATTATAATTATAATGTAATTAGTCAATCTTATGGATAATGTACTTATGTTTGGCCTAATGTACTAATCTTTTTCTCAAAAATGGACTCTCAAGTAGTAATTAGGGAGTTGACTCCATTTTTTTCTAGTCTTGCAGAAAGAGATACTTAAAACAGCCTCTACAAATACAAATTTTGAGACAATTAAGTGTGATTTGCAAGAAAAATTGTTTTTAGCAAAATGTAGATTGATACCGAAAATAATTCTGTTATCAGACATCAACCATTGATCATAAAACAAATTCATTTACCTCCAATCTTTGGTTTCGCATAAAATCTATAGCTTTCTTAATCTTATTGGTTACTTCTGGACCCTTTCTACGATCAAAATTAAAGTCATTTCCTTTATCTTGTTCTAGTAATGTTTGTGTTGAAACTGGTTTAGTACAGAAAGCTTGTTTATAAATCCATTCAGCTTCTTCTTCTAATTCTGGTTCTTCAGCTGATAAAACAGGTACTTGACGTAACTGAAAAAATAGATAACTTTCAAGCTGCTGCATTCAATATAGAATACAATAAATTGTATAGGGAGTTGTTATATCAGTGCTCTTGGCACAAGATAACTTTTAAGTCTTTATAATTCTAATCTTGTGACTCAATATCAGAATTATGGGCTCTAGTACTGTTGAAATGGTTTATCAGCTAGCTTATTTTTGATAGGATTCCACATAAATTTTCTTCAAAGTTACATGAAAGGCTAAGCAATTAAATGAAAAGGACACCTATAATATTGTAGTTATCACTCACCTGAAATCTTTCTGGCATATCAGCAGTTTTAATTTCATTATCTAAGTCTGTAAAATGTCCTCTCTCTAACTCACTTGGCTCAAAAACCTGCAAAAATATGTTTCAAAGTGTAAATCATAAAATATTAATGGGATTATTAGTCAGAAATAAGTCATAATGTATCTATAGATATAGATAGATATTCTTCCTCATAAGAATAGTTGCTATGATTGCCAAACTAGTGCACACATGAATGGTGATTTTTTTTATTTGCATTCGAATTATCAACGATATTTTCAATTGAAAAATTGCTTGAAAACTGAGCCATTTACTGGCAATTATGACTGAATTCGTCAGTTTTTCTGACTGTATTACCATTCGATATCTGCAAAAACTTATTCGTTTAACAGTTTGGATTGTTAGTACTTAGGGTTTTTTGGTTAAAATTTTATATAGTCAACATTTCAAGATTTAAAATATACAATACTTACATCATAAATAGTTTTCTTAGTTTTACGTCCCCGTGATTGTTTTTTAGATTTCGGTCTGGCAACTCCATCTTCATCCTCTTCTTCATACTGAAAATTTCCAAATATTTAACATGTTGACAAAGTTCAAGTTGTTTTTAACTCATGAGTAAGTTGAATTCAGTTAAGTGTCTGAATTTCTGTAGACAAGGATTTCCTTTAGATCAACAGCTTGATACTCTGGTCATTTATTTCACAATTTGTCAGTTCCACTACTACTGTTATAGCATTCCAGAAGGTGGTTGACCAATTCTCTCAGCAATAAGTTTAAAGGGTAAATACAGTTTCTACCAGTTTACATTTTCAGGTTAGATAAATAAAACTATAGCAGAGCTTATAAATTTATCCACAAACATAGTAAATAAAGCATCCACCCTTCTAGGCAACAAAACCCTTTAAGAATAGAACCAACCTCTTCATCTATATCTTCTTCATCACTCTCACCATCATAATCAGCAAACTCCTCAATATCAAAATCTACACCAAATATATCTTGAGCTTCTTGTAACGCTCTGAAAATATGAAATAACGCTTGCAGTTAATAATTGTTACCACCTTTTGTTTTTCAACCTTAAAATGTGGCATAAAAAATGTGTATGGTCTGCAATTGATATTCATTTTAGACAAAAATTACACAAAACGTTTTGTCCTGCCCTAAGTTAGCTTATATTATGATTCACCTAATTAAGTTAAACAAAAAAAGTTATTGATTCAATAGAAAAATTCTATTAAAAATATATCAATCAAATAGAATATTACCTGTCACTATGAATTATGTGTTTCTTCTTCTTTCCTTTACTAATAGGTCTTCCTTCATCATCCACAATAAAATCATCAATATCTAAAACAATTATATCAACAATTTTAATTTCCTTCATCTGGGTCATCATAAAAAGTGACCAATTATTTGTCTATAAACAAATTTATTAATGCATACCAACTTACTTTCTGCTTGAAACAGAAATAATTTATATATCCTACCACTAATTGTTGTTAAGGCAGAATTCGTTAATTTATTTTACAAATAATTGCATTGAAAATCATTGATTGGATTCTATTCTTACCTGATTCTTCCTCTTCATCTAAATCACCAAAATCATTCCCCTCAGTAGCTTCTCTAGCTGTAGCTACAGATCTAGCATCATCTTCTCCTTCCTCTTCAATACCTTCAAACAGCTGATCTTCTATAGCTTGTTTACCTCCTGTTCCAGCTTCAGCTTCTTCTTTATCACTGTCTTCATCTTCTGACATTACACGGATACGTTTACGCTTTGCCTGAAAATACAATGGATTTGTTTACCTTAAAAGTAGCCTAAAATAACAATGGATAATAAATATTTTAAATATTCGACTTAAAATTATTATGAATGTGTTTACACATGGCCAAAAATAATCATAGACATGTTTAGGAGTTTACATTTAGCCTAAAATAATTATGAATGTGTTTCCACATAGCCAAAAATAATCATGGATTTTTTCAGTAGTTTACATTTAGACGACAATAATCACGGATATGTTTACATTTAGCCTAAAATAATCATGGTTATGTTTACATTTAGCCTAAAATAATCACAGATATGTTTACATTTAGCCTAAAATAACCATGGATATGTTTACATTTGACCTAAAATAATCATAGACTTGTTCAGTAGTTTACATTTAGCCGACAATAATCACAGATATGTTTACATTTGACCTAAAATAATCATGGATATGTTTACATTTGACCTAAAATAATCATGGATATGTTTACATTTGACCTAAAATAATCATGGATATGTTTACCTGTAGCCTAAAATAACATGAATATGAATATAAGTAGTCTCAAAGATATTTACATAAAGTCTAAATAGTATTTTTTGATTTAAGATGGATTACAAAAAAATCTCTCATACCTTTCTTTTAACTTTAATACCCAGATTTTCTTCCAGTAAATCATAATCATCATCTTCTAGCTGATCATCAATATCTGAATCTTCATGTTTTCTCTTTCCTTCTCCTTCTTCTTCACCACTACCTTCTTCATCATCTTCAACATCTTCATTGATAAAATCTTTCATCTCCTCTGCTATCTGGGCCTCATCTAAGAATAATAGAGAAGTGTTATAATAATTACTTTATTTTGTCAACCCAATTCCAGAGCTCAGTAGAGTTGTAACATGTAAGCAGCAGTGAATCGCTGGTTGCATGAAGCAATATAAAATAATTAATTACATTTCTGACTTTAATGTTGTTTTTAATTTAAATATCACTGTGAAGTTGCCTCTATAAGGGACAGAGGCTATAAAACATAGCTGATTCATTAAACTATAACTAAAATGACTCAAGTGTCCCTTTAAACAGGATTCCACCTCACTTAACATACTTTCAAAATATTATTATGCACTTCGGTACCGGTACTAGATATGTGGGTTAAGTAAAGTTATGATTATCTCTCTTATTTTGATTAATTATTTTACCTATCAATTCTTCGTCATCATCATTTTCATCATCATCATCAATTCTGGCTTTTTTCTTCTTTTTTTCTTGTTTCTTAGGTTTAATTTTCCTTGACATATCATCATCATCTTCTGAGCTACTTCTTTCTGACTCTTCAGCTTCATTTTCCAAAAAGTCTGACATCTTTGGCTGTCTCTATTTCAGAGTTCTATTGTTGTTTCTAATTCTTTTAAAATGTATATTATCTGAAAATGAGAGGTACCGAAGTTAAAGCCAGTCATTTCATGTGAAAATGTGATCAAACTGAAAATAAATGTTGGATTGCAAATCAAAATGACCCACATTTCCAATTGAAAAAATTATTACTACTCCTTGTTCACCCATGAATCATAAACAATTTAAGGAGCTTCTGATTTAGAAGGCTACGGATGATCCTCTCAAGGAATAATTAATACAGAAAATGTTTTATTATGGGCAAAAAGTTGCACAAACAAACTAAACAATCACAAATTTGTGCAAGTAAAGACAAACAAAATATAAACATTTTACAATAACAAGACATTACCTTCATCTACCACGTCTACAACGATTAAAAAAGAAGACAACAATTTGGTGGCTTCTTCTACTAATCAACTGTAGAGTTATAATTAAGAAAATGTGCTAGAATTAAATGTTATTTGAATTTAAAGAAGAAAAGAAGAAATTAAAATCTTACCTCAATAATTCTTAACCGGAAATGAAGCCTGAAGAAATTACGGAAAAAATGTATCTGAAGATCTTATTGGATAAAACTTTCTAGTTATTTTCGATTATCCAGGCTGGTAAAGTCTCAAAAAAGAAATAAACAATGTAGATCAAATATAAGACCAACAAAAAAAGAAAAGCTGATCTCAGACGCAAAATCGGTGTATTTTATATGAGGATTTATCCACAATATTGGATTGTTTTTGTCTTTTTGTTGACCATAAATGTCTTGTTAATAAAGACTAAACCAAAGAGAAAGTCACGTGACAAAAGTCACATGATCTTCAAAATGAAGAATTTGTAAACAAATAATAAAGATTTTGACCCACTACTCTACTTCTTGCAAAGATTGTTGTGGTGTCACGCAAAATTCGTCATGCTTCGTCTGCGTCCAGTCCCTCTGTCAGTAATAAGGAGGATTTCTAAGTCCAACAAGAGCACTACTTCAAGTGCTCATCCTGAAATCCAGGAGCTGGAAGATGGAAGAATTGTTCATACTGGAATGCCATTTGCTCATGCAAAAATTGGAAACTTTTTTCAAGAGAAGCCTGAGCTGGGTAACCAGTTTGTTGAAGACAGTCTGTTACAGTCATATTTAAAGAGAAATATACCACAGGAGGTGATTATCTTAAAAACAATCATATTGATTCAAGAATCTTTCTTTTTTTTCGTGTTTGTTGCCTGTAAACTTCAAATTTTGGTTATGACTAACATAAATAATTAAATAAACAGTAGTCTAGCACAACTCATAAATCTTTTGATTGACAATTTGATTAGAAAGGTGATTCACTAAAGCAGGATAAGTAATTAAGCTACTGTCATAATAAGCGAAGCCGGTCTATTTCAATTAACACCTTGATGTTATATTCTACAGATAAGTAGGCCTAATTTGAATGATCTGTAAATAATCTATCAGTTATTACCCCTAATAAACATTGATATGAACTTGGAACAGCTATAAAATAACTGATACTGAATGAATGTGTATGATAGTAAAATATTTGCATTTATGCACTAATTGCCCCAATATTATTAGGAAATATATAAATAAATTGAATTGTCAATGATTATCAATACCCACATAATAAAAACATGAATGAGACATTGCTATCTGCATTCACTTTACATTTGTCTTGTTCTTTAGCTCTACTCTAAAATACAAAAAGATTTAAAGAAATTTGGACAGAGAGTAGTCACTGATATTTACTCACTACATCTCCAATGTGATAGAGAACTACCCCAGTTAGAACAATGTGATGCCTGGGGTAATAGAGTTGATAAATTAATCACATCACATGCATGGAAACAAATGCATGACATCTCAGCTGAAGAAGGATTGATAGCTATAGCTTATGAAAGGAAGTTCAAAGAATGGAGGTAAGTGAACACTTTCTGTGGCATTGCAACTGTCTTGGACAATTTTTGAATTTATAAATATTGATGAATTTTCTTTTAAATGGTATAAAAATGATTTTCCTAATATCTACTCCCAACCGAATTTACTTTTTGCTTCCCAAGAACACTATTCAAAATTGAATTCAATGTCCTGCTTTGATCAGTTAACAATGATATAACTTGAAGATGCTTCTTATTCAATTTATTGTTTTAGTCGGCTTTACCAAATGGCCAAAAACTACTTATTTTCCCCATCTGCTGGGTTATATTCCTGTCCACTGGCTATGACAGATGGTGCCTCCAGTATTATTGAGGTAAGTTAGTTTTGTTAAGGACTGACTGAAAAGAGAGCACTTACTTTTTATTTACACCAGACTTTGTCATTCTAGAATATCTAGAATAACCCAAGATAGTAGATTGAGCAATTCACAACCTTTTTTATCTCATATAGGACTTATTTTCTTCGTAGGCTATTGGTGATAAGAATGATTGGTTAAAACAACGAGCATGGTTGAGATTAACGAATCGTGATCCCAAACAATTCTGGACGTCTGGTCAGTGGATGACAGAACGCAAAGGAGGCTCTGATGTAGGTTGGTAATTTTAGAGCTAATGAGGGCATATATAAAAAAAAAAAATCTTAAACCTCACAGGTCATGGTGAAATTCAAATTACTATGCATTTAACAAAAGATGTTGGCTTCAAATTGAAGAGTTAAGCTCATAGATTTTCTGGAGGTGTGTGGGGGGGGGGAACCATATTCTATATGCGCCCCCTACAGAATAAGAGCAAATTCTCAATTGAAGCTGAAATCAGTCTCTATCAGCTATTGCCCCTCATGCAAGTGCAGCTTCCCCCTTGGCACATTGGATTACGGGCCTATGCTTTGTGCTAGTTGTTCACAATTTTGACCTTAGAACTTTTTTTTCTTTTTTAAATTGTCTGTAATAGTATTTCAGTTTCTTTCAATATTACCAAAGGCTTTTTTATTGCATATCCATTCTTCTTGACTACTATTTCTAAATTATATTTTTTGTAGCAAGAGGAACTGAAACATTAGCTCAGTTACAGCCTGATGGAAGCTATACCTTACATGGTTATAAATGGTTCTCATCTGCCACTGATGCAGATATGGCCTTCACTCTGGCTCGACCTCTGGATAAAGATGGTTTATCTTTCAACGTAAGTTCGAATATTGGAAAAGTCCTAGATATTAATGTACATAATCTAATTACTCAGGTTATCAGCTGCTAGAGCTGATGGAAAAGATGGTACCAATGACATTTCTGCGGTTAATAATCTGCTCTAGGTACAAGATACCGATAAGTTAAATAGTATCAGTCATTCAAAAGCCGAAATTAAGTTATATAAATCAATACTGAGAGATGGCAATTGCTGAAGTTTTTGCTGTAAACTCTATTTCAGTGAATGTATTTTGCAAAATCATTCACTCAATATTGAGGTGTGATCGTTATTAGATGTTCTGTATTAATCTTATCAGGGAACAAGTGGCCTGTCTTTGTTTTATTTGGAAATCAGAGATGAAAGTGGTAATTTAAACAACATTCAGATACAGAAATTAAAAAATAAACTTGGTACAAAACAGGTTCCTACTGCTGAATTGTTGTTGGATGGTACCAGAGCTTTTAAGGTCAGGACCCAATTATTCTTTTTTATCTGAAATGTTTTTTTCTGCATTTAGATTTTGTTTTGTGTCCCTTTATAAACTCTTTTGGTCTCTTTGATTGACACCTTTTTTGATTTTGATTCTTATGGAGGATTTATATAGTTTATGAACATTTTTTATGATTTCCGTGGAAATAAGCAAGTTAGAATCATAACACAATTTAATGAATGTAGTATAAAGTTTACTCTGGAATATCATTTACCAAAATATGAGAAATACGATTATCCATCAACACATAAAGGGGGTTGGAAATGATTTTCCATTTCTTTACATGTATATAATTGTGAATTATAGGTATCTGATGATGGTAGAGGGGTAGCCTCTATATCTAATATGCTAACAATCACCAGAATGCACAATGCTATGTCTGCTGCTAGTGGCATGAGAAGGTAGGTTCATGTTTTAACACAATAACAACTAAGGTTCTTTACTGTTTTACTGATCAGACTAACACTCAAGAAAGTTCCTTTGGACATGTATAACCTCAAGCAGTTCCTTCATTTCTCTTTGTTTAAACATATATTATTGTAATGTATTTAAAAACAGATTGAGCACAAATTATGAAACTTAGGCAACGCTCTTTCCTTTACAAATAGTGATTTACAAAACGATACAGACAAAAAAAAGAAATGCATTTGAGCTTGCTTTGGTGAAATAGATTAAATGTGTTTATAGAGTCAATTTTCAATTTTTAATGTCTATCCAATATCTTTGGTTTAGAATTGTAAACATGGCTAGAGACTATACCACTAGAAGAACAGCTTTTGGTAATGTTTTAAAAGATTATCCTCTACATATACAAACATTGGCTAGAATGGAGGTAGAGACAAGGGCAGCAACTCTGTTTTTCTTAGAGATGTCCAGGTTATTGGGTAAAGAAGATAGTGAAACCATTAGTAATGAAGAAAAACAGTTGTTTAGGTTGATGACTCCAGTGTTAAAACTATATACAGGAAAACAGGTTAGTCTGTTCATGGAATTTCTCCCAGTGCACATTTTTCTCTACTGTTTGTTGATATTCGAGACAGTATTTGTACTGTCCAGTGTGCATTATAAGATATTCGTGGACAATTTGGAAATTAGTTAGTTCATTGGTGTCACTGTATCTTTATCCTTCTTTCTCCGTTCAATTAGGTGAACAAACTAACATATTTTCTTTCATTTAAAGTAAAGTCAATTTAAGAGTAAAACCCTTGGTCTAAGCCATAGGTATGCTATGTTCTCTGTTAGTTGTCTGAAAGTTGTCTATGAGTAAAATAAAGGAAAACTTTATGTGTAATATATCTATCAAGGCAGTAGCTGTAACATCAGAAGGTCTAGAATGTTTTGGAGGTCAAGGTTATATTGAAGATACTGGGTTACCAGGCATGCTCAGAGATGCCCAGGTTTGTTACTATTGTTCCTTTGGTTACATTTATTTCTTTTATCTTTATCATATTACACTTTCAAAAATTGTACAAGAAATTGAGAGAGCTCCTCTAGAAACAGGATTTTCTTCTGCCCCCCCCACCCCCCACAAAAACTTGTCGATTTCCCCAATGTTTGTTTCCCAATCTCTTCTACAATCTAAGCATTAATTACACATGAAGAACTATAAGATGATCTGGTCTGAATTTGTCATGAAGTGCAGAAATAGATCTATTGCCTGAAGATGGCAAACTTGGAGTAACAACACCCTTCATTTTCTATTTCAATATTTCTATATTACACTTTAGTCTGTGTTTTTGTTATTTTTTACTGAAATGGATTTGTTTAATAATATGTTTTTTTCAGGTATTAACAATATGGGAAGGGACCACCAATATTTTATCATTAGATGTTCTGCGGGCATTAAACAAGTCCAAAGGTCAAGCTTTAAAGTCTTACTATGATGTGATAGATTCCAAATTAAATTCTATTAATAATGAAACATTAGAAGTTAGTGTTGATAGAGTTCAACAAGCTGCTGGAAGTATTTTAAAATTCGCTAGTCAAAATACAGATAATGTTGAAATGGCTGCTCGAGATTTTTCTTACAGTTTGGCCAGAACATATATGGGTAAGTACAATGTAATGTATTCAATATAATGAATCAAATACTATTGAAATATGGTCATTTTTTATATATTTTTCTTGGGGTGAGGTGTGCGGAGTTGGTTCAACAAGTCCCTATTGTAGTTGAGCACTGGATTGCATCTTTTAACTTGTAAAGTAATGAAGAGACAAATTTAATGTAACTTTTAGTCAAAAGACTTTTTCCTCAACATTTTCTTCAAGGGATATAGACATATGTAATGTAGATAAATTTGAATTCTCTCCTATTATATAGTGTTGTAAATAATGGTATGATTTAATACCACAACATAAATATTCATGATTTTCAGGAGCATTAATGTTAGAACAAGCTAATCAAGTTGACAGCACACCTCAAGATGTCTATGCTGCTAACAGGTAAATTATGATTTTGGAAGAACTTAAGAAAGTTAGCCTTCTATCTCCAAATTAATTGATAAAAATTTTATATCTGAAACACCTGCCTGTCATATATTGGATCAGCAATCAGAGTATAGAGACTGTTTTAATCAACTCATAAAAATCTAAAATGTATGTTTTATTATAGATGGTGTGAACAAGACTTGTGTCCAGTTATAAAACATAAATCAAAAGATATCTACTCTAAACAAATAGCAGATTCTAATTTTCAACTGGTATTTGATGGATATTCTCGCCCTAGTCGACTATAAACAATTTGATAAAACCTATCAGACCTGAAACCAACGGGTATCAAATTACCATTCGCATTTGATTCCCTGTATTCTTATGCTTTGTAGTCTTAAGATATTCAGCAATGAGTAAATGACTTAATAAAAACCCGAAAAGAAGTCCACAAAGCTCTATTAAAATCAGATTTGTGTCTTGATCATTTCATTATCAAATAATCGATTTTGTCTTCCTTTTAAAGAGTCTGTACTGTTTATAATGTTTATGAGGTACAATAATAAAATATTTTTACTCAGTGCTCAATACATTAATTCCAAAGTTTATGTATAATGATTTTTTTTTTCTTGTTATATTTATTGTAATTATATTGTTTACTGTTAATTTTCAAATTAAACTGAAAGTTCCTATGAAATCATGTTTTGAATTTTAAGTCCACTTCCCAATAATGAAGACTAGCTAATTGTAACAAGAGATCAGTGAAAATGCATATTTTTTAACTCAGAATGTGAAAGTAGAATGCTATATTCATGGCTAGCTGGAATCCAACACCTATGATAGATATGAAAGAAATTGTCATGTTTTTGTAATTTCCAAGTTTTAGAAGAGAAGATATTAACCTTCTCATATCAACGATGTCATGTTTGAGTGTTACATTAAAAAACAAGAGATGGAAAACATTTAATAATTGAACAGAGAATTTCTACATGTAAAGGAATACTGCCTTGGAATAAAAATAAAAGTTAGTGTTTCAAATTTGGCCAAGAAGAGTTTATATTCATCTTTGGACCTACCCAGCGCTATTATACACCAGAATTAGAGATAATAAATCCATTAAAGAAAGAAATTATATTTAAAACTACATAATTATTTACAAGAACTGCTACACATATGACAGTGTCAATAAAAAGAAAGTGTAACAGGAAACAAGAAAAGAAAGATACTGAAAGGAGAGTGTTACATTTAAAAGCATATTATTTAAAAAAAATGTCATAAAATTTGACAAGAGTTGCAGAAAAGAAAAAATTGTAATCAAAAAAGTCCTTAGAAAAGAAAAAGAAATATGTAGGTGAAATGTTTACAGTAGGAGAGTGTTTTCTGAAGAAGGTGTTGGAGGGAAACGTTCTGAACAGAATACATGTGTTAGCTTGTCATCTTCTTATAACACCTTTTTCTTTCAACACATTTTATTTGACAGAAGGCTAGTGTTATAGTGTTATAGTTATAAGAATCTATAAGAGAGAGTAAATTAAGCATTAAAGTAATGGTAATACATGAACTAGCAAGGTGTCAGAATGTAATCAGGCATCTATACTGAACATTATTCACGCTTCATTCATCTAACTTGAGGAAGTAGGAAGTTTAAAGACTGGATATTTACATCGGTGTGATCAATATTTAAGGCTACAATGCTTTCTTTAGTCAGGCGAAGGGAGCCGCTGTGGCTGTGAGTTAGACGCTTGCTCGCTAACCTGAAGGTCCAGGGTTCAAGGAAGGACATGCTACAGACTGTGCACATTAAAGATCCCTCAACAGTTGGAAATCGAAAAAGAGCAGGCTAATGCTGCTGTCCTGACAAAATATCCCTCATTGCTGTCTTCATTAGCCCACATGGTGCAGAAAAGTAGGACGTAAAACTCCATTCATTTCATTTTTTTTTAGTCAGGAGAACAAATTGAGTATACTGAAAAAAGACTACAATAATTCTGGATTCCTAATGGGGTACTTTAACTAAATGTTAAAATCATTGCTATGGTACTCCAGGATACAATAACAACTTTACAGTTGCTACAATAGTTCAGTTAATTAAAAAAAGATGGGCTACAATATTTAAGGACCCTAATAGAAGGGCTAAAATCATCAATAGATGCCAAATATTGGTTCAGTTCATTCTACAAGATGGGCTACAATATTCGTATACTACAATGTTTCACAAAAATATGAAGCCTTAATGGGCTACAAGGTTCCAGGATTAGCCTACATATATCAAACTATACAAATGTCTTCATAATCTATTTAAAGGACATGATTTCTGGCTCTTATTGAAATTACACATCGGAATTCAGTTAAGATTCAATCAAGCCTAGTTTGAGATACTTCTTTGATACATGTAAATTTCATCTTCAATTGCCTACTTGACAAACTGAAGAGTTCTTGACAAATTTGTAGTGTAGCAGATAAAAAATTTAATCAATGGAACATACAGGATAGATGCTGGAAATAGAAACATGGAATCGATGTATAAAAAAGGAATGGAGTTTTACATCCTATTTTTCTGCACTATATGAGAGATTGATGTATAAGGTTGCCCTGGAAGCTAGTCTTTTTAAAGTATTCTGTTTTTACTCATGTGTCCATGTCCAAAAAGGCCTTAGAGAATCTGAACTTCGATGGGATAAGCAAAATGACTGGATATCTGCTTCCATCTGATGCCTCTCTGCAATTGAATTTATCAATTTTGCCATCGTATCGCATAAATGGTTTCGTCAAGGTTGAATGACGAAAGGGGACATGGTTTGGACAGGATGCAATTTTGCATCCCTTTTGGTGAGTCCACTTAGCTCAGTGGGCATGAACATCCATCTGAAACCTCTCTGCAAATGAATTTTGTTAATTTATTGAATCTTTATGAGAGTATCAGAGAGTACTATACAGGAAAATGTCCAGATGTGATATGATATAAGTCCTTTAAAGTTAGGAAAAGTTTATTTGTATAAGAACAATACATTGTATATCAAATAGTCTTAATATTTTCTTAAACTCTTAACAATTCTTTTTAATATGAAAGGAAAAAGGTAAATATTAATATTATGTTCTACTCGATCCATACTAGCCTGTTGACATTTCTACAAATAGATAGCAAAGTTCAAGACAGATTGGCTACCTTGTCAGTCATACTTTTGTTGTGATTTATCCAATACTCAATTTGAAACTGTCATTTTAGGGACTGTGAATTATTAATCACTAACAGCTGTGTATGCACAGTAGCTAATTCAGGTCTAACGCAAGAAATTTAAAGAATCTTTCTAGCTTTTTTATACGCATCTATTTGCATCATTCTAATTTTCTTTCAGATATCTGTACTCATCAATATGCTAATAGACATGCATAACCCTGTGACATTACAGTGGCAAAAGCTGCCTTATAAGATTTAATGGTCTTCGTGAAAGTTAAGAGAACCTTTTAACAATCCCTTTTAGTGCAAATATTTGGAATTAAATAGTTAATATTCTATAAATATCTATGGAAATAATTTTGAGAAATAAGGTCCTGGAATACAAATCATCCTTAAGTTCAATCATATTATATATTTGTATGGGTATCATATACTTAGAAATTGAATATAATTTTAAAATTTGAAAGATAAACTTGTGATTGATTATAATTAAGTAAGCATAAAATACTGGACAACTGTGAGTGAAAATGGAGGTGACCATGTGAAACGGTCAGTGATGGGAGTGTAAAAATAGTTTATTTACAGTCATTTCAGGTATAAAAAGTACAAATATTGCATGGTGTTAAGGTGCAAGAATATTTCAACACCTCGTATAGTCGTATAGTCTGAAACTTGCTGACTCTTACCCAGGCCCTGTTTAACAAAAACTCTCAAGATAAGAAATTGTGTGAAATATAACATTGAAATACCAAACAAGATTTATAGTAAGATTTCTCTGTGAAACAGGACCTAGGACCCTAACCTGTTAATAATAACTATTAGAGGTCAGATGTAGAGTTATCAAATTCCAGACTATTCCTGGTGAAAATAAAGAAAAAGTTGTAGTCTGACGCCTTTTATATACATATTAAATCTGGAATGCTTCAATTATCAACAGCTTAAAATGGCAAAGACAAGGATTTTTAGACAAGATTTGAAAGGAATTTAGACAAAAAACTGTATTCCACGTTAAGGTAACAAACCACCCAATTCAAGACATACTTCATTACTGCCTATAACAACTTAATAACAGTTGTGTTTAATGCATAATATTTTAGGGGTGGGTTTTATAAAGGTATGGCTTGAATACAATTCAAAGAACTATTATTCGTGGGGTATCTACTTAAGTAGATTTTTTGGTTCTAAGGACTTATTCACATAAACCTGAATGATTTTAGTGCTCCAGTCATCTAAATTTTCAACAAATTTAGTTTGATTATGCAATAGGATTTCAGTATGTCTTAAAATTTGGAATTTATAAAAAAACAGACCTCTGTTATTTAATTCTAATAATAATAAAATATCAAAAAGATCAAAACTTGTGCATATTTGAAAAGGTCATTAACAATTATTGTGGACGTATAAAATATATAGACAATCGAAATGGGAAGATATAATGTGATATACTATAATCTTAAACTATACTTAATATTTGAATAACAAACTTATAACTAACAAATCATACAAATAACAAAAATATTATTTTAAATAATTAACAAACTTTTAAATATTCTGACAACTTTTTGCTATACTACAGAATTTGACAGCTTTAAATTGGTAAATCATTTTATGACATAAATTTAAATTTTACTCAGATCAGATCTATTTCGGATGCTTTGCAGGATTCAAACAATTTCTTAAATTTTAAAAATTTCTAGCTGACAATGATCTTTTATAATTTTATTAGGGGGGAAATCTATAAACAAAAAAAAAGTGAAAATAAGTAGAAAACTTGGTAATTTGTCTGATAATGTATTTTTTACAGTTCATAAAACAAGGAATAAATTTTCAAATTGGCAAGCTTCAATCATGATTATATCTTGTCACTTCTAAATCAGTTGCCAGGTCTATTTAAAGGGACAGATGCACCATTCTGGGGGGGTAATCGTATAAATTCTTTAAAAATACTTCAAACTATGAATTTTAGTCACTATTTTGATGTCTTTTCTATATATCACAGAGTATCTTTAAATGACGAGTCGTCATTTTAACATTCAATTTTAGTCTGTAAACTGTGAACACTATTACTGATTGGCTAAGCTAAAAAATTCCCATTTCTGAGACTAATGTATGATTGGTCAAAAAAAAGTGGCATCTATCCCTTAAAGTGTAAAAACAAAATTGATAAAAAAATGAGGTTCTGAATGCTGAAAACTAATCTTATGACATATTGGTGGTGGTGCTTGATTGGAAAGTTCTTAACAGGTTTTTATGTTCCATTTCTGCCCTTAATCAAACAGTATAAAAGCCGATATGTCACATCCAAAATTTTCCCATCTATTTCTTTCTGCACCATTTTGGATTCTGTCTAAACCTACTTTTTTTTTCAGCACAATTTGAATGCATTCTGAACTCTGTTTCAACTTGCTTTATTGAACATTCTGTTGATTCTATAAATCCTGAACGTGCAGAACGCACCAACCGAGCAGCAGAAACAAGGGAATTAAAAAAGAAATGAACGAATTTAACCAAACCAATTCTCAAACATTACCTCCAAAAACATTCATATTAACCAATAGTATCCTATACTTCATAGGCCTACTACATCAAGACACGATAGTAGCAATGTGGAGGCAAAAAATTCACTTTTAAAACAAAGTGTGTTTTTTAAAATCATCAATCCAACTCAGCCCCGCGTCCTTGCCAGACAAGTTTAATGTTCTAGAGTTAAAATGTGCGTGAAGTGGACTGGTGGTGTGCAGGTTCGATTCACAATGTATAAAAGGTAGCTATCACAATAAAAGGATTTGTTTTGTAATAAATGCATGTATAATGTTAAGGCGGCGGCGGGTAGGGATGTAAAATTTCAAAATGGCTGCCTGACAATAATGGGGAATGTCATGAATCTTCTTGAACTGTTTTTTCAATGTGAGCATCTGCAGAAACTTTTCTGAAAAACAAAAAATACGAAATTTTTTCTTCTAAAACAATCATTACAGATAACTAACAAAGCTAACTATAAAAAAAAAGGACATTCATATTTTAGGCCCAATTTGACTTTTGAATATTTTTGAATGAGAACTCAGATTTTCATTAAGACCAACACACGGAATATTTGTGGGAACAACATAATCAAGTAGTACCATGTAAATTTGTAAATGCATCATTCTAATCATAAATGAAATTCACCATGGATTATTTCTGATTTGTTTTCATTTTCAATGTACTAATAGTTCTTGCAAATTATTGGCGCAAATTGAATCAGAAAATTCAATTCAAGTAAAAAATTTGAAATAATTACCTTTTGACAACATGATGAAATGATTCAGGAGCAGAATAAGATCGACCACTGCGTTGAAATTCTTCTTTTGTCATATTTTCTTTATCTCGATATGGATTTCTAAATGAACGTTGTTTTAACACACTCTTCACAAAAATCTGAAAAATATTAGAAACAAAATTTTCAAATGATTTAATAAACTGTCTTGTTCTAGTATCACTAATTAAATTAGAAATCAATGCTATAATTGACAACATATAATCAAAAATACATAATATATACAAGGATATTTTCAAATCTTTAAAGAACAATTTTAAATTAGCTGAGTGCTTCTTCCACTGAGGGAAAAAGCTGGGTTTAAACCAGCTTAAAGCTAGTTTTCCTGTATTTTTTCTGAGCAAATTGCCGAAACCTCTCTTTTAGCATTTTATGGGGGGCTGGCTTTTTTAGTCAGTGGAAACGCAAAAGCCAGATTTAATTCTTTTGGCAATAGGGTGCGTACTGGTGACTTATAGTTAACATCCAATTAAACAGTAGTCTTGTACTCCGCGAGTTGTCAATAATGTGCGACTTTGTGATCGAGTCTAAGCATGGCACATTGGGCAATTAAGCTCGCTTTAAGCTAGCTTGGACCAACTTTTCTTTACAATTCTCAGTGGAAATGTGGTTTTTAGTTTCAACAGCAACTATAAAATAAGCTTTCATTCATCCACTAAGAAATATATTATTATATTAAAGCAACAATTACACTTTTCAAAGTGAATATATAAAGTAATGCGAAGCCAAACTCTGGAAATTACTACTGGTAAAATTAAAAAGGCAGAGAAATTAATAATCAGCATTAAAAAAAACCCACAAAATTAGGTGTCCATTGAAATTTCAATTGTTAATCATTGTAGTATTCTGAATCAAATTCAATTATAATTTTAAGTGTAGAATAAGGCTAAGCATTCCCTTTCAAAGTGAAAAGTAAAGTCAATCAAAATAAAGTGCTTTATCTGTGAAGAAATTTATGACATAACAAGACCACATAAAAATGGTATAGTCCCTTAAAGTGCTTTACCAGTTGACACAAAATGATTAGAGCTACCTGTATCAATTTTTAGAATAAATTCTAAGAACAGATTGTCAACAATCAAAAATAAGGTTATTCTCCCAATTGAGATTTTATTTGATCGTAAACCAACCCAAAGATGGCATTTTATTCTAAATATTGATAATGATAGGTGAAGCTGGTAAAATGAAATATAGATGACTGTAATCTCTTACATCTGATAAGAAAACATGCTTAGAAAAGATCATTACTGTGAAAAAATACAAATTGATATCAAATTTAAACTAAATGGAATCATAATCACAAAATTGACAATAAAATTTGATATATAAGTCGTTTATAAGATGCTAAAAAATAATGCAAAGTGCACATTCCAAATGTAAAATATTATCATTCTCACAATGGTGTTTTACCTTGATAAAATGTTAAATATATCTTCCAATTTGCTAACAGAAATAATATATAGTTTGTATATATTGAATATGAGTAATTGGAATTAATTTTCATGGTTTAGGATCCAAAGTACTTTAAATGTTTAAAAATATCAGCAATATCACAAGAATGGACAAACTTTAATTTTGCTTCAAAAAGTCCCATAGCCTAAACTTCATTTTTGATCAGATTTTGTCACTTTCATATATCTAGGAAGATATCAACAATAAATTTATAAAGTTAGATTAATTTGACTGCAAGATATTTTGTGATCCTTTACTGTCCAAAATAATCAACTCATACTCACAAGTGTATCAAGTTTAGGCACATGTTTAACTACATTCATTATTTCTTCTTCAGTTACAGTGATCAATTCGCAATTTTCTTCTTCTGATGGTAGTGTTATCTCTCCATTGTTGGTTACCCATGGATGTTTCTGCAACAAAAGAGTTTAAATTGCAAGGCGGTGTTTTTCTAGTCTAATAAAATATTTGACTATTTTTTGCCAACAAATGTACAGGCAGTACAAAGGACAGGCTTAAAGGAAGGCCCGTAATAGAGGGCTGTATTTTGCATATATAGTTAAAGTGTGTTATTGTATGATACCCTATAAACTATATTTCAGTAGAAACCAAATAAACTCAGATCAAACTAGATTGATAAGATTTATATCAACTGTAACTGAAGCCTCTTAAATACATTAGTATAGATTCTCATTAATGGTTTTCAGTGCCACAGATATTTTTGAATGATCAGACACAAATGGACAAATATTCATGAAAAATAATCAAGTTTCTGTTCATTCTGAACAATATAAATGACATGACTAAATATGTCTTATTGATGAATACATACCGGTACATTAAACATTAAAATTGTTTTAAACAGACAAAAACATTCCCACAAAACATCAAAATCAAAAATAAAGACAAGTAATTTTGTGCTTCATTGACACATTTATTTAAAACAGACCTAAAATGGCTTCATTTCCAGGATTATATGTAAATTATGCATAGTTTGAAATGAGATCTGTTTCCACGTTAAGAATGATACAGAAATAACCTGTAAGAAATTAGAAATACGAGCTGATCAAGGTAATTCTAAACAATATATATAACAACAATTACCTTTATTTCTGGTAATGTGATCCGTGTTAAGGGATTTTTATCCAACATTCTTAAAATTAGTTTCTTTACAGAATCTGATACATTGACACTGTAAAAAAATAAAAACATTTATTATAAAATATTAGCCTATATCACACTCCAAATTCTCTTCCATGTTGTTGACAAGCGTTTCAGAGACAAGTACAGATATAATGACAAAACTGGGTTAAGAGCTGAAGTAGATTTTTACGATATTTGAAATAAGGATATTTGAAATAAGGATATTTGAAATAAGGATATTTGAAATAAGGATATTTGAAATAAGGATATTTGAAATAAGGATATTTGAAATAAGGATATTTGAAATAAGGATATTTGAAATAAGGATATTTGAAATAAGGATATTTGAAATAATGATATTTGAAATAATGATATTTGAAATAAGGACATAAGCTTAATATGTGAATATATGCAAATGTTATAGGGATGCAAAAGCAAAGTTGGCCACATCAAAATGAAATAAATTCCTTCAAATGACAGAAACATGATGTGTATGTATATGTATTGGAAGATAGTAATATTTAAAGGTAATATACTGGTTATAATAAAAGGAAATATAAAAAAAAAAAAACAATAAATTGAATAGTTACTTACTCATCAGGGAATTTGACTGGATCTTTAAGAATTTTTTTATGAAGACCAAGAATATATTCTTCTTTAAAAGGCACCTAAAAATACAGGTATGAAATTTCTAAACATAATTATAGTGATCATACCTAACTAGTAACCATTTTAACTGGGATTTAAAAAAGTGCCTTTAGATAAGGAATATCCCTGTCTCTGAACATATTGTGATTAAAGAAGATTAATCATTTGGAAGAAATTTAGATGTTTTGATAAAAAAAATTATAGTACTTACATTAGCAAATAAAAAACAATATAAAGTTATCCCTAAAGCCCAAATATCTAAGGCCTGAAATATATAAAATATGTTAAACATAAGAAATAACAAACACAGGGCAATTTTCTTATAGACCACTTGTTTGATTTGATTGTGCACTAACATATACAGTGACAGGGCCCTTGACAGCAAGACTGCAAACAATATGGCTCTAGCATGCACCAAGATATTATTATTAAATCTGACTTGGTCAGGCTTTGTATAGAACCAGGCCCCAGCTGTTACTATTAGATCCACATTAATACATATAAGGCTTAAGGCATTGTGTCAATTATACTAAACAATGTAACTTGCTTTTGGGATTGTCATTAATTTGACCAAGTGTGAGACCAATATAAACATGTACTCAGAAAGTTGGGTACATCCTAAAATCTTGACAGATGTCTTGGTAATACTATTATAAACTATAATAGGATTGTGAGATATAAACTCTCTATTCAATCCTCTTATAGTACAGTAAACTGTTACTAGATAGATCTGAGGTGTCACATTTCAGTGGAATCAGTGGAGGTGACTTTCAAAGCTCCCTTTAACCTTAATTTCAGCACTCCTGTTCTACACCAAATCAGACTGCATAGTCAAAATTAGATATGTTTACTTCCAGATTATTACATCAGGATGTCAGAAAAGGAAATTATAGATTTCCATCTTTCGAGGGTCATTAATGTGCACAGTAGGTTTGAAAAACGAAAGGTTTATCTGAGCCCATTCATGGCTTTAATTCTGGACCTTTAGGTTAGCGCGAAACTATTTAACTTACTGAGCAGCTGCGGGCCCCCCCTATCAATTGAGGAAGACAAAATGTGAACTATATAAGGTTATAGAAAATCAATGGAATATTTACCTTGCCACCATATTTTTCTCTATCCTCTATAAAGAAAATAAGGAATAATTGTATTATTGCATGTTGTAATGGCTATTAATCATGATACTGGTAATCATGTTAGACTTGCATTATACTTTAATACATTTGAATTCTATTGATTTATACCTTCAATAAATCCCAAATCATTCTGTTTCATGTCTAGAACTATACTAAACTTTATGCTTGTCCTAGCCAATTTGAATCTATTTTCAGTCATATTCAATGGAATCTCCACATTATTCAACTTGGTTTTTTTTGTCAATAAGTCATGTTACTTTACTTTTTATGAAAATTAGTATGTTTTTTTCAAATTTTTTTAACAAAATGTTTTATTATTTTCAAGATCAAGGAATGAGAATATCAAAAACTTCTTGTTATGACTGAAATTTATCACACATCAAGTCTATCATCTAATAAAAACCAATAGTATTTACCTCTAAGAGTTTCTGGTGCCATAAAAGCTGGAGTACCAACTGTATTAGAAAGAAAGGCATCACCTCCACTAAATTCATTACTAACTCCAAAATCAGCAATCTGCAATATAAAATAGCAAGAATAAATGTAAAAATTTCCACTTAGTCATATTTCAGCACTAGTAGGATTGTGTAGGATTGAGGGACTACTATGGATGGCCATCTTTTAACATATTTCATTTATCTCATCAAAATTGGAAAGTAAGACAGGTGAAATGACAATTTTGAGTGAAATGACAATTTTTGCATTCATATTGTAATGTTGTCATGTTGACGTATAAACACTATTCTAACTATTATACAATGAAATATTACTGGTAAATCCATACTATAGAGTTTAACCAAGACAAAACATGTACATAAAGAATCATCCAATGAAATCATTAAAACAGCACATTCAACCATTATGTACTGTAACACTGGAAGATCCTAGCTAAAGAGACTAATAAATCAAGACTAACCTTTATATGGCCATCATCAGCCAGAAGTAAATTAGACGGTTTTATATCACGATGAATGATTTTTTGATGATGTACTGGAATGAAAATTATATTCTCATTTATGGCCTACTTAAAGAATCATAAAACATAACATAACAAGAAAATCTTCAATCAATATCATGCTCGGAACTTCACTGAGTCTCCAATATCCAAAAGTTATCTTTGAAGATACAACTCATAAACTGAAATGAATATGAGTTTTTACATCGAGCACCTTAAAGCTATCATGCTTTTGTAAAATTCAAAATTAATTTCGAAAAAAATAAGCCAATGTGGGGCAGGCAGATCAATGACTGCAGTAATATTTTTTTAAAGAATTAATTAATATGTCATTTCGAAGCACAATAATCGTCACATTTGAAATACATGGGGGATTAACTTCTAAGAGTAGTTTTATGCTTCAGTTTTTAGCCCATAAGGTGCAGAACAGTAGGAAGAAAAATTCCAGTCAATTCCTCTCAATTCAATAAATCTAAAGTCTACTTACAATATTCCAAACCAAGTACAACATCTCGGAAGTAGTTTCCTGATTGTTCTTCAGAGAAAGCTTGGGTTGTTCCTACCATCATTACAGCACTGAAAATAAACAATAACCAAATATTTACACTGTTAAAATAGTGCTCAATATAACAATTGTAGAGCGATATAGAAATACCACTGTTAAAATAGTGCTCAATACATCAATTGTAGAGCGATATAGAATACCACTGTTAAAATAGTACTCAATACATCAACTGTAGAGCTATATAGAAATACCACTGTTAAAATAGTACCCAATACATCAACTGTAGAGCTATATAGAAATACCACTGTTAAAATAGTGCTCAATACATCAACTGGGGAGCGATATAGAAATACCACTGTTAAAATAGTGCTCAATACATCAACTGTGGAGCGATATAGAAAGACCACTGTTAAAATAGTTCTCAATACAACAATTGTAAAGTGACATAGAAATACCACTGTTATAATAGTGCTCAATATAACAATTGTAGAGAGATATAGAAATACCACTGTTAAAATAGTACTCAATATATCAATTGTAGAGCGATATAGAAATACCACTGTTAAAATAGTGCTCAATACATCAATTGTAGAGCGATATAGAAATACCACTGTCAAAATAGTGCTCAATACATCAATTGTAGAGCGATATAGAAATACCACTGTTAAAATAGTACTCAATACATCAATTGTAGAGCGATATAGAAATACCACTGTTAAAATAGTGCTCAATATACCAATTGTAGAGCGATATAGAAATACCACTGTTAAAATAGTACTCAATATAACAATTGTAGAGCGATATAGAAATACCACTGTTAAAATAGTGCTCAATACATCAATTGTAGAGCGATATAGAAATATCACTGTTAAAATAGTGCTCAATATATCAATTGTAGAGCGATATAGAAATACCACTGTCAAAATAGTGCTCAATATATCAATTGTAGAGCGATATAGAAATATTAAAATGGAACTGAAAACAATACAAATTTTGCATGATGGGATCCATTCAAGTCAAATGTATTTATGATAGCAATAATCCCTGCAGCATTACAGAAACCACAGAATAGAGATGAGAAATCAGATTATAGGTGTATCTCATTCACAGCCTATATTTCTGCACCTAATTGGGCAGATGGAGTGTTAGCCAACTTTTTCCAACTGTCAAGAGATCTCAAAAGTGCTCAGCCTGTAGCTGGTTTATTGTCCCATCCAGACGAAGCTTTTGCCGCATAAACATTAGAAGTCAACCAATAAGAGATTTTAATAACAGTATATTTATAGACATAGGATGTTTTTTTCATATTATCTCAATTTACCACTTCCTTAATGCTTCATGTTCAACACTTGGATCTAGTTCAATCAGCTCATTAGCCTGGTTTCACAATAGTTATCTATGTATATTACTGGTAGAGATGGTCAATCACCTATAAACCACAGATCCAGCATGTATCAATGGTTAATTGGCTAACATTAAAGGACTTCAGCTGTCAGCCTCAAAGCACTTTGTGAAAGATGGTCAATGTCATTTTATAGTCTGGAATGGAAAGCCTTTTCCTGAATTCTGTTGTCTGCTTTAAAGAACAGTTTTCAGATAATGGTTTAATACCTGATGAAATGAGGCACCAGTCAGAGACTTTACAGAGCAATTCATTCCATTGACAAAACAATTCACAAAAAAGAACAAAAAAAAAAACTCCACTTTTTACAAGGCTAACAACTTAAGTACACAATAATCCTAGCTGTCTACCAGCTGGTCCTTGGCCAAAACTCTTGGCATTGATCACTTGGTTGACTGGAATTATGAATTATGACGACTTTCTTGCTCTGACTGAGATTGGAATCCACAGCTATTATTTGATCCATGTAACCAAGCTCTTACCAACTATACTTTAGAACCTAAAAAATAGGCTAATAAGCCTAATTAGCTCAGTACTGTTGTAATCCTTCTGATAAAGACATCCTATTTCATAATTATAGTTTGGTCTATTATAATGAATGTATAACTGTATATGTATTCTAAACAGTTACAGCTACTGTGTTATTTACCTATCAATTATATGCCCTCCCTCAATCAGTACTGGTCAGTAATTACAGGTACATCAGATCAATGACCCTTGATATATCATTATAAAATATATTGAAAATCACTGTTATACTATTTTAATTAGCAAGTATTTAAGTGAGGTATCAAAAATTTATAGAAAGAGGTCGGCTACATTTTTTAGAGAGTATTTGTGATGAATCTAATAGTCTAGTCAGTCATTGACCTTTAGAATCAATGATATTTGATATTTCATAATAATATTTATTGAAAGATGTGTATTACACTATTCATCAAGTAATGAAGCAAAGTCAAAAACATTTTGGAGTCTTACATATACAACTGAAATTATTAATGAAATCAATCAAAATAGTTTTCCTCAACCTCCAAAACTGAAGAAGTGACAAACAATGCTATGGTCATGGCAATTAGCAAATATTACAACTATAAGTAACTAAGTACAGAATTTCATAACCACCTGTTTCCAGATAAAAACAATTTACACTTGTAATTGAGAAAAACTGATTTATTCCAGAAAAACAAGCTTATTAGTCCTAGTCTGAAACTATTCACGCAACTCTCTATGAATGAAAGTAGAAATAGTATGGTAGTCCAATGAGTTGACTATGTGGTCTCGATACGAGTCTTGAGTAACAACATGAAAGGAACCAACAGTATTTCTTACAATGAAAACAACAAGGTTCTAAAGGATTCTGACTACCAACTGGTCCTTTGCCTTACTCCTTAAACTCTAACCAAGATTAGAACGCAAGACCACCATTCGTTTGTTGTATACAAGCAAATGAGGTCAAGATGCTCTCAGACTCTAACTGAGCTACAGTCAAACATTTGAATCAAATACAAAGTAAACTAGAATCCTGCATTGACTGGTTGATTCATGTTCTCCATTGATTAAATTTATCTAATACAACTAAAACTTCTCCAGAAAATAGTTCCAAACAGTGATCTAAGAATGGACATGCAGAAATACCAAATAGAATATCAGCATATCAAATTTCACAATCAATAAAGTTCAGTTGCCACGTTCTGGTCTCCATTTTGCAAAAATAACTAACAATTCATTTACATCCTAAGTTCGTAATTTCTCCTAGTAAATTTCCATGTCTAATATTTCTCATATGGCCTTCAATTTCAGATAATTTACTTTGAGAATTCAGAGGCACTTTTATGTAAAATGAATATGAAATAATACTAGTCAATAACTCCCTTTTTTGCCAACTGGATTTCAGGTCAAATATTCTTAAATGTTCTTTTACAGAGACACAGGAAATACATTTATATAAATTGAATATGAAAGACTTAAATACAAGGACAAATGTTCTTAATTGAGGACCTGGATCCAGGACAAAATGTCCTTAATAGAGGACTTGGATCCAGGACAAGTATTTTCAATTGATGACTTGGATCCAGAACAAAATGTTCTTAATTGAGGACTTGGATCCAGGACAAATGTTCTTAACTGAGGACTTGGATCCACGACAAATGTTCTTAATTGAGGACTTGGATCCACGACAAATGTTCTTAAGCACTCTTTTACAGAGACACAGGAAATACATTTATGTAAATTGAATATGCAAGATAATAATGGTGTTAAGCCAATTATTGTAAGAGAAATCATGTTTGATTGAATAAAAGATTAGATTAGCTTGAAATACAGTACAGACATTGATCTGTTATTAAATCAAAGACTATTATCTCCAGCAATAGTAAATACATGTCAAATACATCTAATACCCTCATCTCTTCATTATACATGTAGATTTCAATGATGGCTGTCCAGATTGTCACAATTGATTTATCTCTTCTAGATCTTGATTTGATTTAAAGGGATGTAGTAATCTAAAAAAATGTACTTTTCCAAATAATAACGCTTCTTTGCCTGACAATTGACAATTGAAGAACCTTACTTTGTGAAGTTAGAATTCTCACTAACTGACTAACTTTAATAAGTATATATAAAAATCCATTCAATTGATCTAAGCTGTAATTGAGTGTCCCAATGTAACGTCAACAGTTCTATAACTGATAAGACTTATGAATATGAGGTATGAATTCAATAGCCAGATTCCCTCTAGTAATTTATAAGGTGTCTATAAAGTGTCAACCTGTAGTAATATTTACATAGTGTCTACAATATGATTTTATCAATAATAACCCGTCTGGTCATGTCATGAATTAAACATGTACAATTGTTAGTAATATCAACATCATTCACGCTGTGTTTAACAGATCAGTCTTAACACTGTTTTTCAGCTTACCAGCCTTACCTAAAACAGGAGCAAGGATTTAGCAACTATCAAACTATACAGTACAGAACCATCAAATTGATCCTAATAATACTACAATTACTGAGTCTGCGATATCAATGAGCTGGAGAAATGGAACTAAAACTGTCATAGTCCTCTACCAACACCATCAAGGAGCAGAAGATATGATAACATGTTTCATTATGTCTGGGGTCAGTACAACATCATTGGCTAGAGTAAGAACATCCATGACCTTAAAAGAGGAGGATAATAGCTTCTTAGGAGCTGATGTGTGGACACTTTAACAAAAATTCAACTTACCCTTTTTCAACAAGCTCAAAAGCTGTAAAGACAAACATACATCATTTAAATGTTATTCTGAAGAAGATTTTACAGCAATGAGCAACTCTGGATAATAATGATTCAAATATCAGTTTCACTCCTAAAATTTATTTGAAGCAGTTGTTGCTAGATTATGTTCTCATGATGATATAAAGACATGAAAATGAAATTATTCCAGTGAAATGACCTACCCATATAAAGATTATCTTCTTCTGGGTCATCTAAGACTTCTATTAACTTCACCACATTGGGATGGTCTAACTTCTTTAATATAGCTATTTCTCTATATACACGTTCTAGAGGGTTTGGTGGCAAGTGACCTTTTTTACCTTCTCTTACAGGTAATGGACGCTCTGTAAGAAGAAAACGATTAATTCAACTAGATGACAAGGGCTGATCTTATACTGTCATGGTATGTTTCAGATATCAAATCTTCACCAGGAGCAAAAAGTTCAGACTTTTAATAACGAAGTCATCTATGACAGAAACTGGCAATGGCAATGACATATTTTGAAACTTTGGATCAAATATGACTAGCAAATAAGGATTAGTTATGCATTTGTTTATGATGTCAAAAACTTACTAAAAAATCCAGCTTTCTTCATAAGCTTTTTCTTGGACAAGATTTTCATTGCCTGTAACATATATAGCACAATAAATTTGATATAAATAGAATATTACAATGGAATCATATATATTTCAGTGTAGACACTAATATATTAAAATAACAATCTCCTGGTCTTCTATAAATATTAATATATAAATCAACAACATTTTCAACAAATAAAATAGAACAAAGAAGAAATGAAATGAATGGTGTTTTACATCCTACTTTTCTGCACCTTGTTGGCTAATGAAGACGGGCAACGCCATGCAGGGTGCCATGAGGGAAATTTTGCCAGGACAGTGGAATTAGCCTGCTCTTTTTCGATTTCCATGCCTTGACCAATGTCAAACAAAGAGTTCTCTAATAAACAATATGGAACATTATATAGCCTAAGAATAGTGAGGGTTTTTTTTTCGGCTTCTATTGTCAAAAAAACCAGGTCCCAAATGATTTATAAATATATAAAAGATAAATAATAAACAACATAGCTGATAAATAAATAATAAAAGATACATAATAATTGAGGTGAAGATAATCTGGGGTAATTAAAGTAGAGATTAATTAAGACTTGTATTAATTATGAATAATGTAATTAAAATGAACTGGTTTGACGACCTCTAACATGCAAACATCTCGTAGGAAAATGACAAAAAAAAATATTAACAAGGGATATTAACACAGCATTCTAAATTACATTGTAACAAAAAACAGGCCTCAGTAAAAATATATCTTAACTTCTACAGCATCATAAATAATTGAATTTGATAGAATAGAATAACTGTAATGGTTTTATGAAGAGATTGAAATCCAGTTTCCATGGAGGAAATCCAACTTTGAGTTCGCTTACTTTCATAAAAGGTGCTAATAATATCTAAGACATCTTTTTACAATTCTAAAACAAGAAGTGTCAACTTACATAATGTATTTCATCTTCTTCACTATAAGCTAATTTCACAATTCCATAGGAACCCTGGAACAATAACAAGGTTTCCTTAATACATAACCTTCTTAGGCTTTTGACAATATCAAGATAGCTTATACAATCATAGTTCATTGGGTACCATTTCTCAATTGTTGGTTTTTAACATATTATCAGAGTGAAAATTAAATTCTATCACCTGATCAAGATAATTATCAGTGAAGTATATCAGTGTAATCATTTTATAACACTGTAATGTGGTACATATATCAATATATAACTAATCTACTGTCTTCAAACATTAGTTGGTAAATCAAATTTTACAGATTATTAATATGAGATTTTAAATAGCAGCTTTAAAATACAAATAGTACTGATAGTCTAAAAATCAGTAAAAGAATATTTATTGACAAATTCAATTTGCAAAGTGATGTCACTTTGCATGGAAAGTCTAGTGACCTTGAATGAATCACTTTTCCTCTTTTCTATCAGCTGGGAAAAAATGATTGTCAAGTGGTTTGGCCATGGACCAGCTTGTAGAAAGGATACCCATGAAGTTGTTATCCATGTAAAATGTTATTGTCTAATTATTGACAAGACCTGGCCACGACCCTGATTCTTTCAGTAAAGAACTGTCAATATTGACAAGGTTTCCCTAACAAGATATGAAGAGCATGTAAACAGGTGCCATTGGGGTCGTAGAAATCATTAATCAAATCTATTTTCTATGGAATCTGTTTATCAAATGGACCTTGGAATCATACCTAATGAACACATTTAACAGAATTTCTCATAAACTGTGAATTTATATCTTTAAGAATAGACAAATTACAAATTTTGATCTAAAGTATCAATATTGGACACAGAAATTGGACAAATCTTAGAAAAAAAAGGTTGATGATGGATTTTTAAATTATATTCATGTTTAATTTACTCAGATATATTTTATACCCTTTTTTGTCCATAAGTGCAAGAAAATTTGAATAAAATCATTTTCCACAATTATGTATATCATGGAAGTTTATAGGTATAATATATTGAAGATATCCATTTGACATTTTCGTGAATAATACAAAATATTTCACATCTACATCACACTCATGTCCAAATTGTTAAAAAGATTAAACTTACCTTTCCTATTTCATCTTTTAATTTATACTGATTTAACTGTGTATATCCATCTCCATCTGAAACTGAAACACGATGGGTCTCCATTGTTGGTTGTCTTCGTAACCTTGGTGAACCAGTCGGTGATCCGTAAGGCGAATATGGCAAATGAGGAAAAATAGGTCTTTTAGCATTTGAAGTTGTTAATTTGTCTTCAGAGTGACTGTAAACAACTTTGGGTGCACGTTTAACGTTTATCACACTTGAAGAAGTATAGTCAACATTTGGCTCGTAGGGACTTGTACAGTCTGAGCTTAAAATTTCAGATGAACCAGAGGGAGAGTTTTCAGATATACAATGGTTTGTAAAATCTAGAATTGTTGGAACGTTTAAGTGCCCTGTGGAGTCAACACATGCTATGCTATGTCTTCTGAAGGATTCTAAAGGATCCTCACAAAATACACTGCAATCACTTTCTGGCTCACTAATAGTGGAACTACGGCCGGAGTCACTGGTTATATTAGAACTTTTACGTTGTAGCGGATTCTTTTTCTGTACACACACATCGCCATTTTGTAAACTCGATTTTTGATGAATTTTCACATTTTCTTTTCCTGTTTTAACCTCTATAATCTGATTGATGACAGTAGTTTCATAACGTTCATCTGTAGCTTGGTGTTGCAACACAATATTTTTCTGGTTTTCATTTAAATCCGAAACTTTCTGATCTGGTTTTTCGATCATTTCTTCTACGATATCCTGGCCACGATCAAAGTGACAATTCCTGCAAAAAAAAATTAATAACCTTCAAAATATTGTCTGATGAAACATGGAATAAAAAGAAAAGATGAGAGAAGTATATTTTTTCAATAATTCAGGAAACATGTGGTGTTGTCTTTGTAAGGGAGATATTGCCTGGGGATATACAGATATCATCAATATATCACAGACATGATAATATCACTAGTAGGTTTTTCACACCTTCTTTAATTAACTTAAACTGGTTAGCACATTATTATCAATCTGTTTACTGGACATATCAAACAACTGATAGTACCACTATGAATTATACTCATTTATCAAACATGAATTCAATATCTGTTTATCCTACATTTCAAACACCAATATCAAAGTGATAACACCACCTTCAATTATACTTTACAGTTAAAAACATGTATCCCACATGATTTTAAAACATGTTTATCTGACACATCAATATTAATATTAAAGTGAGAGTAATTTTCTGAATTAAACTTTACAGGTTCAATATGTTTATACAACATATCAAACACACTGATATCTAATGAATACCAACAACAGGAATCATACTTTGAGATAAAAATCTGGACCTAAACACCAATATAAAATAGATAGTACCACTAAAATGTTCCGCTGATCTGTGCCACCTAATGTAATGAAAATTTTGAAAAACATACAACAGACACGACCATCAAAACAAAAAGATGAATTTAAGCTTGCATTGTGTTTAAGGTTGTAGGTTTATTGCTACATTGGCTACCATTGATATTGATAAGTTCATAATTTGTACCACATAGTTTAAACTTATTCTCTGAAATCTCAGCACTGGAATGTCAAAATACCTAAGAGATTTTCAACTCCTTTTCACTAGCATCAAGGATAATGTGATGTGTCCTTTAAAGCTAAAAAAAAATTGTGGAATAAATGGAAAGGTCTAAAAAAATAATATGTAAAGTTTTTGAAAACTAAATATTTTTCAGGAAAGAGAAAGGATTAATGTAATATTTTTAAAGGCTTGTCATATCAATTTGTGTTTTGATAGATCACTCAACGAGATGATTCACAAGATTCTATCTTAGCCATTTTTTGCTAACACCTTAAATGACAAGTCTTAATAGCTATAACACACTTATTATTTTCTGTTGTATATTGAATAGTAAATGTTTTTGATAATAAAAGCACATGTTGAATTTGAGTTTCTATGTAAGTGGCAAGTAAAATCTGACTCGCTCTTCAGAACACCTTGTGGCAAGTCGATATGGCAACTCTTTCACAGAATCTACATCCAGTTGGCTTATTCTCGAAATATGATAAAATCCTCATTCTAAATGATACACTATTCTAATGATTGATTTTAGTGATTGACTAATCAAATAACTAGAAAACTATAATCATCAAGTCAAGTCTCAAACATATATGATACATCTCCAGCTACCCTTTTTCATTTCAAAATTATACAGCATAGAGTGAGAGTGCCCTTAGTCAATCCTAATTTTATTTGTCTGTAATGCACAATAATAGTTCAATAATTCATAACTTAACACAATTCTACTGTTAGTAGTAATCTATTTCACACTGTTTACAAATTCCAATTACTTGAAAGTGTGACTTTCAATTATACCTTCACACATAGCTTGAGTGATTTAACACTCTACTTTCACACTGTTAACATGTTTCATTTTGAATTCTCTTATAAATGACAGTACAGTACTCAGGATCTGATCTTAATGCTCATCGATAATGTATGGTCTAAATTTGTACCCTTTTGTAATACAGATAATTTATCTGAAAATGACAATCTCAGTCAAATCATGAGGTAATAGTAAACTACCAATCCCTTACCACAGAGTGTTAGTTGATAGTGATCGTTTGTTCCTCACAAGAAGAAAGATTTTTAGATCCTTAGTCACTGTTTACCAACAGTCTCAGCTGTTTCCACAAATTGATTTCTTAATCTTCAATGTATAACATATCCTTTCTTAAACATTTGAGAAGGACAAAACAGACATGTATTTGTCCAAATCCATCAATCCAAATGTAGATATTGCCAGATTTTAAGCAAAACATTCAAATAAAAATAGAAAGCATCAAGTTAGTAAATGCCAAATATAGAATTGTTACATAAAAAATTGATAAACAACTTCTATGAGAGAAGACAGTCGTTAACAACTTGGGAATTCCCCTAAGCATCAGAAAAATATTTTCCAGGAATAAAAAAACAAATCAAAAGCACTAACATGAATTTCTTACCAGATTTTAAAGACAGAGCACCAAATTGATCTTCGCTTAGAACAGTTCATATCTTAATGTTTCCAAGATCAGTTAGGACAGAGAGAAACCTGTTGTATTCCAACTAACATTATGAGAAATCTTATAAGATCTCCCTATATATTCTTTTCATTGGTTTCCGTAAATCAACATCATCATTAGTGAATGACGAAGATCATTACAAAAGATGCGATATTAATTGTAAATATAGATACATAATGACATTTCAACTCACACCAGCAAATTATATAGATGACATTTCAATTAATATTATTTATATACCAATTAGAAAAGGTCATATTGCTATTTTCTCTTGTCATTCCTTATATGGGCACACCTACTAATTCTATTTTAGTCTATTCCAGTAGGCCAGTCGGTCAGCGCACTGGGCTACTCCTACTATGTACTTCTTATATGACATAAGTATACGTCAGAGCATTGTATCACGAATACAGATTTTGACATTTTCTCATTAACCTAAGCCCACTACACTTTGTTTTGTGGGAGTGGCAATGCGATTAGTGCTATTTGAATCTAGTGATTGGCGGAAATCAGTATTTTACGTAGGCCATTTTGATTGGACAATATTTCACAGTATCTATGAATACGTAATTGCTCTCACCACAGTCTCCCGGAAGCATGACATAAATGGGGGCCTGGTTTGGAAACGATGACGTCAGAGCAGCCAAAGGTTCATAACGTCATTTTGTTTTGTTTTTTTTTAATACTGATTCTCTCCCTTGACAAGATTTAGGTCAACTGGAAGCAACCAATGGAACAAAAATTCTGTCCCTTTTAGGCACCCATGTGATTAAAAAGTTATCAAATATCATCAAGATACCAAGTTGAACAAAGTTAGAATCAAATCGATGATGTCGACATATTTAATTCATCAGACCAGGAGACAGAAACACCCATATCCAATGAGATTTTTATTCCAATTCCACATTATAGGACCCTTGAGACTTCTTACATTTCACAAGTTTCCATATACTATATTAAAACAAGACTTTCACAAAGTGTGAATTCATTATTTAAAGATTCTCAAAATACTGTGAATTCCACAAGACTTCAGAATAGTTTATTACCGAACTATTACCGTAGAGGATTTGTTTCACTTTAAATTCACTCCAAGGTATCTTGAATTTTATATTTACAGTTAACAGGAATTACATTTTAAACAATAAGACATCTGCTCAATGGTTTAATGTCCAATCGAGGTAATCATTCGCTCCTAAAGTTGGTCAATTACCTTTCACAAGTTGAAACTCTTGTTGACAAAAGATTTATTAGCATTTATCGCTCAAAGACAAGATTTAATTTCCTTTACAGAAGAGTTTGATTTGACTACTGGTTGATTAAGGTTGATGGTGGCGACACCAAGATGGTATACGTTACAATTACTGTCTTCATTACCCCCTTCGAAGACAAATTTATCCAGTCATAATTGGGCAATTATGATGGAACTGGGTTCACTTATAGTGTTAATCAAATTGATGAAGTTGAACTTCCTGTTTAGGAAGAACTTGTCGACAATATCATTTCACCTACCCTTTAATACACCATGGTCTTAAAAATCAGAAAGAAATGGCCAAGGCTTGATCTAAAAAATTCAGAAAAAAGTTTAAATGGTGCAATTACATTTCAGAAAACCTTTCTTTACCTAATACACGATGAACCAAGGCATCTGGGCTAACTTGTTTACAATAACAGTTCATCAAATCTGATGACAAACCAAAGAATTGCCTAACAAATCCAAAAACATTTTTAATGTATCAACAATCCAGAAGAATTGTTTTAAATGTATTAAAAATTCAGTTTTATATGTATGAACAATACAGAAATAATGCTAATTAATTTGTTTACAGGTGACAGTTCACCATACTACCTTCAATACACAACAACCCAGAAAATGGTGTAACCAATCCAGAAATGTTTTAAATGTCTCAACACTCCAGAAATAATGTTAACATAAATTTTATAAACCACAAAGCATGCCATGTTCTCAAAAATTAGAAATGAGGTTCAATTTTCCTTGTTTTTCTTTTTTTGTTTTAAAATACCTGTTAACAAAAGAAATAACCTTGTGAGGTTTGAACATGTTTCAGATAAATCATCAAGATACTTGATCTGGTAATAAGAGATAAATTTCCTAGAAA